ATCATAGTATCGATCCAGCAAGAGGCAAACCGGTAAATGCGAATAACAATTACAAATTATTTTTCACGTCGCTGTATCAAAACTTTGTACGTTTGAGTCAAGCAAGCAATATCACATTATATTTACTGTATAACCGGAATGTGTTTCGTATAGTCTCAGTCGTGGTGATATGAAATTTATTCAGTGCTTGACTAAGTTTTCTAGTTTTTTGGTTTTTCCTCCTGCACACATTGAGATGCGTGCATGCCACAACGTGTGGAATATGAACTCCATTGGCCGTGTTAAAACGTCCAATAGAAAGCAATATTAGAACAAAACGTTCCCCGAAACGTAAAATTAATATTAGTACATTAAATTAAATTTTTGACGTCATATTTTAGCTCCTGACTTTTAAAAAACCCAAAAATGTTAGTATTTAGCATATTAACTCAACTTTCTCCATCAGGCGGCGTCAGTCACATTTCTCTAACCCCAGTCATTTTGTAAATGAAACAGACTTTCGACTATTGGAATATAAAGGTGGTAAACTTATCAATTGACCTTATAACAAATCTACGAATATTTAAAAACACGTCTCAAACTTTCTGATCAAATATCCAGTTATTAAAGTATTCGTGTGCAAAGCAATTTTTACTGAATTAGCAAGAAACTCTGTGCTTTTTTGTTGGTTGTGCGCTAAATATTTGTTCGGAATCATTCCCAATGCAAAACTAACATGACTGAGACTGATTCTGTTCTAATCAAGTGAAGAAAGTCAAATATCCTGACCAAGGCGATAGTATATCAAGTATAGAATAATGGCGAATAACCTGCTGCTCTATGCAGTGTATTGCATTTACCACTAATGACTTACAAGCTATGGTTTGAGACTTAAACAATACAATTCATGCAAAAAAGATAATTGAGTACTTATACGAAGATGCTTGATGTCAAGTGCAATTGAGTCTAGTGGAAGCGCGTACTTTGCCGGTCGGCCATTGCAGAGTTATAAAAGACGTTAACTGGACTAGCTAGGGTTAAAACAAATTTTGAACAAAATTTCTTTGCGTCTAAGAATATGTGACTGGACTGAGCTTCTTTTCGAGCTTAGACTCGGACCCGGATTACTATGAATAAGCTTATTTTTTGAAGACAGTCTCAACAAAGCAAATGGACAAGAACGAGTTTTCAACCTTGGACTAATACGTACAATCCCTAACATTTCTTGCAGCGATTGGGCCAGGCCCTCGTAGATTAATATGTGTTGAAGGCAAAGTATTGAAATAAACGTTGGTGTTAAAGTAAGAGTCTATCACATGATATACTGACCGGCCGGGATGAGGAAATGAAGACAGATGAAGACGAGATGCCAGCTGGGTGAAACCGATGAATTGATTTAAATCTATGTTGTAGAAGCGATAGAGTAACTGATGGGTAGAACATTAAATATTTCCCATGAAAGTCTGGCCTTCATTTGCGACGAGAGCACTAAAAGAGTGTCCTGGTCTGACCACTCCGAGAAATCAGGGGTACCCAACGAGAATATAGTTCAAAATTACTTAAAAATGCATTGTTGATCATATTTTAGTATTTAAACAGAAGATATAGGCATATTTTTGTTCCCTAAAAACTTTCCATCTGTTCGGATTTCCTAGCTGAAAGTCTAGTGATCCGAAAATTATAGGAATCAAAACTTACTTTTTTCGAAAATTTCAGCCCGAAAAAAGGCTCCCGAAAATTCTAGGTGACCTTTTTAGGGTAAAAATCCGTTAAAAATGGGCAATTATACAATTTTTTAGATGTTCGAAAATCCTAGAAGAGCCAGGCAAGCAAGAAATTTTACAACAAATGTTCCGAAAATTCTAGATCTCAAATCGTCTTCCGAACAGATGTTTTCCAAAAATTGACGTTGGGTGCCCCCGAGAAATATAAACACACAAGATGGACCGTGCTCAGTTAAACTGTCTTTCTCATAGGAGTCAGAGGTTTCTGAGTCAACGATATATAAAAGAGGAAAAATAACTGTGAGTATTTAAGATATATTAACTGAATCACAAATTAATTAAGTATACTTTATAAATTATATTTTAAAACAATATTTGAAATTAACCTAAGTGTGTTTAACTTTATCCATGCATGGCAAAGGCTTAATTCCGCTTGTGGTTTATATGTTATTCTCAGCCGGCGATTCTAACACGCGATTCATCCCAGCCAATTTTAACTCATCTTATATATTACCCTGCGGCAAAATCTTGACAGAAACGGGAAAAAACTGAGGAACGCAATTATCATCATCATTTGGCACTCTCTAACTAAAGAACAGAAAAAACTATAAATACGTCAAATGACACAAATGACAGAGTCAAATAGGTCAGAGATGAAAGCGCTTTTTTTTCACCCGAGCTTCGCAAAGGTCTAACCGTGTGCAAGACAAAGAAAAGCCACAACAATAGTGAGAGGGGGTGTTGTACAGAATCATCACGAATCGGCGAAAATCAGGCAGACTCTCAACAAACGATGGAAATACGTTAAAATTAATCGCGGCCGTTTGAATCCGACTTCAAAAATCATCAATGTTATTGATGCTATAGGACATCTAAACTTTGGCATTTTTTTTTCTTCAGTTATCTTTTCAATAATTCCCTTGCGGTTTTGCATGAAAAAGGCTTATCCGCCAAACAAAAGGTTTATTTAAAGGTTTATTTGGGCGTCACGAGTGAGAGGGGCTTAAGCGTCACATGTACTGAAGTTTCGCTATCTGAACAGCAAACGATTTAAGTACATTCCATTAAAAGGTGGCTTTTTACCTTGAACCTTTTGCTTAAATAATACATCTTGGATGTACGCGCTTGTGATGGTCATATTCTTTAACAGGCGCCAACATATTTAAACACAAATTAGCCTTGTTATAGTGGTAACCATTGACACGATACCCTCAGGCAAAAATCTCACCGAAACAGGAAAAAAAATGAGAAACAATGAAAACAAATAATTATAGGGGATGATTATTATGAAGAGGACTTTAAAACACGTCAGTTAGTACCTTTAGTTTAAGATGTGCGTGCCTATTGCTTTGAATTAATTACCATGCGCTGACGTCTAATCATAGTATCATGCAAAAACACAATTGCTGAATTGCATCATATAATGGACCAACAAAAAAATAAAATATCAAGCCTTCTGAGCTTTATCGGTTTCAACCGGCATTTAAACATCTAAATTACTATTTTTTATGTACATTTTCAGCTCGATATAGTCCATCATTTTGGAAAAGGCGGGTTTAAATTTTCGTGTCTACCTCTTTTTTGGGGGGTAACTGCCATGAAAGCTTGAAGTGTGTCTCAATGTAACAGATAATTTATACGCTGAATAATGTTTCTTTTTTTTTTTTACCAAAAGCCCGCTGTTAGACTAAGGGTAATTAATATTTACCATCTTTCGGGCCAAATTAAATTCCACATATTTCTGTTACGTGTTTTCAATGTTGGTACGCCATACATCATGGTTGCATTATTGAAAAATGTTAGTTTATGTTCGGAATATCTTTCCTTTTTTAATGTCTCCACGCTTTTTTTAACTCCAGTCAATATATTTACTAACTGTTGAGTGAAAAATGACATTTTTCCGGACTGCCGGTGGCGAATTTGCAGCGTTGTGCAACGTAACAATACGTTTGATAGAATTAATTTTACGGTTAGTAATTTGTAGTATTAGTTCATCTCAGACCATAGAGTTACAAGGGAAATTTAGATAAATATCTTCCAATTCAAGAACACTTTGCCGCGTTTTCTGTTTACTAATTCGATCAAGAAAAAACTTGCCCTGTTTTTGTTTGCCTGTCCGAACCTCTGACTTTACTTGGGGCATTTTTGCTCCTTCAGCTTATGGTCGAGAGAGGCCTGATGTACATTCTCTCACCTATCAAAATGAGGCGGTTTAAAATTGGTGTGTTGATTTTTCTTGCAGAACCATAGAAAACAATTACAGCAGCAAGTTTATCGACATTTTCTAACCAAGTGTTTTGAATTCTTTCTTTTTTTATTCAGTTTAACTCTGTTAGCTGATGTCAAAACTTTCATTTGACAGGTCTCAAGGTAAGCCGAAAAAAATACAACTAAATAATCTATATCAATAAGTGGTCGTATAGTCTCCTGATTAGAACTTGTTTGTTGTTATTTAACCAAAACAATGGGGTGCAATTTACGCTTCATCCTATCATCGCAATATTGCTCGACATTGTACTCAAAATAAAATTCTTAACGACTATTAATATTCCCTTGAAAACGGAAAATTCTAAATATTAGTTCGCTGGCGTAAGATTTTTCGTGATGTTAAGACAATTAAAATAGACGCAAGGCTGTGAGGTTATTGAATTACGTTCGGTACTGAGTATTCCCGTTTAAAATAATCTACAACCGTTCACTTGACGTTTTGTTTTCTTTAACGTTAAGTACCACCTTAATGCCCTTAGTTGCATATGGTTTCCAACACGAGACTGGCTTACGTTCAAATTGCTCAGTAAAAAGAGGCTAATAATTAATAATAGTTGGCATTTAACAAGGCTCCCCGAACACAGGTTGGCAACGATATAAAGAAGTATCTAAAACAGAAATAGGATAAAGAGACAAAAGCTTGTCCTTCAATTTCGAAGAGGAAAATGGCCTTGTACGTCAACAAAGCACTTTCATCCCGGAAAAATTATCCGACCAGAACCCCCTTTATTCAAAACCGCAAAGCTCAACTTCTTTTTACCCCATGCCTGCCTATTTTTCGCGCGCGATGTTAACCTTCTGAGAAGCTTCTGTCTGGGAAAAAGAAAGCGAGCGTCAGGGAAATCGATTAGGAATTATCAATCACTTCCCTTCAAAACTAAGGCATAACAGACTTTTCTTTTTGGAAAATATTCGTGTGACGTATCAATGGATGACGGCATTTGTACAGATTAGGCGGTTTCTTTCACCTACACTAATTTACTTTGCCCAATCAGCATCGGCTTTATTGTTTAAAAAGGAAAAATCGTAATGATCATTTACAAAGTACACAATAACAAAAATTTTTTCCGGGTTGCGAGTATAAAATTCCTTGATTTGAGCCAGTTGAGCCAACTAGGATCTGCACAATCCAAGAGAGGTAAATCCAAGAAGGTTTTTCTCAGAAGGCTTCAGAGTTTGCAGGTAAGGTTGTTCTTGTAAGCACTTTTTCGATAACGACACATATCTTATTTGAGTTTGAATGGTATCTAGGCTAGATCACTGCAGTATTTGACAAATTCTTTATACGTAACTTCAAAGCTTGACTTTTGATACAGATTACAGATACGCGGCCATTATCCACCTTGTTAGCCGCTTTCCGAAATAGCTGGAGATACTGTTCTCTAGAAAATTAAAAAAAAGAATTCTACATTCACGGCCTATTAAAACCTTATTTCTGCAGGCAAGCAAAAAAAAAGTTTGCAAGTAGGTACTATTAGCATTCAATCACTGGATATGGGTTCCAAGTTATTTCGATTTGTTTTTCTTGGACACAATAATGGCCTATACGTGATTTAATTCATGTAACAAAAGTAAAATAACGTTTTCAGTCAAAAAAACTATCTCATCTAATAGTTTTTCAGGTCTATACCAAAACTACGGAGCGTTTTGCCAAGTAACTTGTTTATGTATGACGGGCATTAAAATGAAAGATCCTTGTGAAGAATGAGAAACAAGACTTAAAAGTATCAGTTCTGTGCCCCATACTACGCCCTGTAGTCTTATAGCAAAATGCTTTCATTTTGAAATGAATTCCAGGTTGTGCTTTACATACTGCTGATTATTTCAGCTAGTATTAACGGTGAGGTAATACAAACAAAAGTATTCATGTCTTTTTTTCTCTTTTTTTCGTCTATTAGTACAGAACATTGTTTTACCGGTTGTTATTGTTTTTCATAGTAATGCACAATATCATCAGTTGATGAGGACTAGTAAAATGACTGTTCAAGCCTCTAGTGTCAAACACCCTTAAAGCTTAAGAAGGCAGTTGAAATGCTGATGTTACTGATGACCGCGTTTGATTATTATGATGTTACATTTTGTAAATCCATGAATGTTAAGAATCCTGAAGTTTTCCTATCTAGTGCATGATCGTTCAATTTCTTGGGCCTTCGTTACCGATCTTCAGGATCAAAGAATTCATAATACACTGAGGTTGAAGAAACTTATCGAAATTATTTTTCCTTTTTTCTCGAGAGTGCTATTTGCATATTCCCTAAGGCCATCCAATATTAGAACCGTTCTTATATCATCTATTCAACATGTGCTTCAAAGCATAACAGTGACTAATTTATGATAAAGAGTTCTGCTCACTAGGGCGTTAAGCGTTATCACCATGGATACAGATATCAATACACTTTCAAAGAAATGAAATGATGGTGGGAATGACGACACGAAGTAAGCCCTGGAGTCAAGTCTACTGCCTAATGCAAAAATTATGAAATTTATCTTAAACAATACCATAGGTGAAATATCCTGAAAAATTAATCTAGACTGAGTCAATTTCGGGGCCTTGCCTGAAAGCGAATGTCTGTAAAAGGATACATGTGCAGGGGAAAGCAGATACTTTCTCTTTTGCTAATATATTGTAGTATTTCACATGCTTATTCAAACCACCACAAGACGTAATATAAACACCTAACGAGTGGCTGACCCACCGTTTTTCAGTTTATGCACTTTCAATCTCTGACTGGCATTTTTAAGGTTGTATATATCCCACGATTTTGGCGTAAAATATGTTTCGCGAACCTGAGCTGCTATACTGAAATGACATATTTGTTCGGCCGCGTTTTCAGCGTTTTATAGTTTTCCATCCTTTTAATTTGCGGTCGCTGCGTACGATTTAACTCGCTCTCCACATCTGAACACCTGAAACAGGCTAACATCATGGCGTAAATGATCAATACCATCTGAACTCGAGTCTGCCGTGGAAATATTTTACAAACAAGATATTAAATATGCCTTTCTCGAACGCTTGTCTAGTAGTTTTAAGCGTAGTTTCCTGAATTTTAACAAAGACAAATCAAGTCTAAATCACACAACCTCCGGCGGTGAATTCATGCAATGAATTAAAACAGTGGAAACTGTTAACCGAGCGGTTTATAAAATAAGATCAATCTTAATCGGCAAAATCAAATGCAAGAACCCCGAATGGCCCCGATATCGATCTGTAGACTATTTCATAAGTTTTCGCTTTTTAGGCAGGATAGTCACCATTTCTCGTAACTTCCAAGAGTGTATAGTGTAAACTGAACTGATTTGATGGTATGCAAGCTTAAACATGGTCCTGGTTTAGTAGTTTTCAAAAGGTGGATATAGCTTATCTCTGGATAAGGATCTTATTCATTCTCAAGTAGTTTAGTTAAGGCCTGGGGCTAAGCGGTTTACCTGTGGACTATGATTTAGTGGCTATAACTTCGGCATAGATTATGAAGCTCTCTCGAAGCCAGATCAAAATTTGGCACACATAAAGAACTCATCTTCCTTAGTACTTTAAAATATAAGTATTGTGTTAATTAAACACGTGATATGTCACATGACTATTTTTATTATAAGTTGTAAATTATTGACCAATTGGTGGCCGTTTTAAGAAAAGAAATCGAGCAATAACATCTTAATTTCTCATTCATATTAAATAATTCTAACACTTCAAGTTTGGAATGACCCGTCAATTGCACTTCAATAAAAAATTACGAGGGCAAACAACATTTTAAATGCCCAAATTTATAATCTTAAAGTATTTAAAACTTTAATTTTAAACGTCGCGTACATTCATTCCAAACGAAGAAAGAGGCCACAAATCTGGACAAATTTTAGCTTCTGTCAGGTTAAGTCGCCCACGCAAGCGAATGCGAAAGTAGCGATGGGGAAGGTGATGCCCATGAGGATGTGAAATAGTTATCCCGCTCAGTAGCAGTTGAATCCTTTCAAAAATGCTTATCCTGGATGGAACGACCGAGCAATACAGTATTGACCCTATCCAAATAACGCAGCTTCAACAAATGATGGACTTTGCTGTGCGATCACGTTGTAACTCGTTAAAACAAACTAGTCAGGGGCACCCAGCGGGAAATTTTGAGAAAAAGACCTAAAAACAACAACAAAGCGTGAATAAAGTTTTCTGAGACTATTTTAAGCATTTTGGGAGATTGCTGGAAGAAAATTATCTGTTCCTCACTCCCAGCAAGACTGATGGAAGAGTTCCCAGCCAGCAAACTTACAACCTGCAACCTGACTTACTGGGAAGTTTCATAGGGCACAATTCAGATCTTGAGTGGTAAGTAAGCCATACAAGTAACCCGTAGCAGCTATTCTAGACTTCAAATCCCCTCTGACACCCTGAATTATCTTTTTTCCCAGCAACACTTTCCTCCAAGGACTATTATTTCTTCCACATCTCCCAGCCAGCAAAAATGTGTCTGAAGAACAGATATTTTGAGGAACAGATCCATTGGGTGCCCCTGACTAGTATGCTTAAACATTTTAGAGTGCTGAAAATGCACGTACACTTGAAACAGTATCTTTTTTATTTGTAACTTAGGATAATTCACAATTAAATTTTGTTTTCTTTATTTCCTAATTTTGCATCATTGTCTCATTAGTATTCATATTTTCGATTATCCGGACTCTCGATTATCCGGATATTTACTCAAGTCCAAACGAGTCCGAATAATCAAGGTTCGATTGTATCTTTTTCCTCTTTCAGAAATGCTAATTTGTTTATCCAACCAAAGTAAATTCGCCACCAATTTACACATTTCCTTCATTTTCAATTTTTAGTCACTTGACATGTCACCATAATTAAACGTTGGGGCCCAAAAAACAAATTCAGGTCTCCTAGCAAGAGATATTGCCATCATTCATGTGCTCCGACCACACATTTGACTCAGGCCTTAAAATTCCTTGAATATTTGCTTATTGAAAATATAAAAAGTGAATACGAAATAAAACATGTAGAAATTAAGGGTAATTGAAAAAGATAAATTTCTTTTTATTTTGAAAAATTTTACAAATCTTTTTCCGTCCAGGACCAAAATCTGAATCATTATCAAAAACAACATTTTGGCGCCATATTTGCATGAATATTATTAAAATACTAACTTGAAACTAATTCAATTATTTTTCAAGTCAACCATGACAAGTAGCTTACTGGTCAGTTTGGTTTTCCTGCTGGCCATAGACTTGGTTTCAGCGTACGTCATTGAGGATACATATTCTGGCGCGGAAGATGTATTAGATGCAATTTCTAATCTGGACGATGTACAGGAAAGAAACTTACCCAAAGAGCCTCTTGTTCACATCCCCCGCCTGAAAGAAAAACACAAGGACAGCTTCCTTGAAGTTAGTCAAGAAGATGCTTTCGAGACTATCAAAACAAGGGCTATGGAACTGGCCGCAAATGAATGCAACATAACTGTTAAGGAAAGGAACCTAAAGAAGGAAAGAGAATCAGCCTTGAGACCTTACTATCAGGCTTATCAGCACGGAAGCAAGAATTTTATGGCCGAAGAGGAGTATAATACTGCCGCGAAGAGCGAAAAATGCAGCGCATGCGTTCTGAATACTCTGTGCAACGAGACAGAAATTCGAAACCTGTTGAATATTAACCCCAGCCTCTCTGAGTGAGTACAACATATTTACATTTACATACAATTTAGATTTACTACGGTTTGATTTTAATCTGCGTGTACATTAAGGAGAACTGATTAGTAGTTTGGTAGTGTAAATGTCAACCCTACTTGTCATGGTACACACCTAATTGAAGAGGTAAGAAGAGACAAAATAATTACACATAAAATCGTGTAATGAGAAGAAAGGAACATTGAAATGAGTTGATTTATTCTAAAATTCCATAAATCTAAGAATGAAATTTATATGCCTATTCAACCACACGCAGCCCAACTTTTATTCATAACTACAGTCGACTCCCGATAACTCGAACCTTCAAGGGAAATCGGAAAAAGGTTCGAGTTATCGGGAGTTCGAAGAAAATAGCCGAGAGTAAGGCAAAACTGCACAGTGAACATTTTAATCACATTTAATTGTAGAAAAGTCGAGTGAAAATTAAAGATACTTCTAGATTACAAATCAGAACGTAAAGTAACAAAACATAGCCTAAATAGAGAATGCGTTTTACTGTTCTGAGAATTAAAAGAAAAGCTGCTTCACGTTAGCCGGTGACAATCAAGATCAGCCTCTACTAGTAAAATATACTCCTTCAACAGGTCAATAGGAAATCCAAAATTCAATGTTTCGGACGCCAGTAGACGGCTTTTTTCCCGACTTTTTAAGGGTTCAAAACATGGTTCGAGTTATCGAGGGTAAAATTATGTACAAAATGACCTGAGGGGAAACGAAAATTGATTCGAGTTAGCGGGAGTTCGAGTTATCCAGGGTTCGAGTTACCGAGGGTAAAATTACACTAAATGTATGACAGAAATCCAGGGGAAATCGATTTTGGTTCGAGTTAGCACAAGGTTCGAGTTAGCGAGGGTTCGAGTTATCGGGAGTCGACTGTACGAGTGGTCTTATATTGCGTAATGCTCCAAATGAGCGTGGCTGTATGGGAATTTAGGTAAAAATCCAGGAAGATAAATAATCGCTGGAATTCTCAATAAAAAACACCTTACCATTCCAGACGCAAATTGAGTAAACTCTCCTACTAATTGGTTGAATAGACATACAAGTTTCATTCTTATTTAGGTCATTTTAGAATACCTAAGTCAACCCCAGAGGGGGGAGGGGGTACTCCGGTGACGGGGGCTAACGAATGGGAGCAAAACTCAAAACTCAAACAATCCCTAGGGCTTCCAACAAAACCCCAAAAAACATGGACCAAACATTAACCCCCCCAAAAATCCCATGGTAAAATTCCGAGCCTTAACTGAATTTCCACATGCAATGAAATGAATTATAGTTGACATTACAGCTGCCCCCGCTCTGTAGATTGTTGGTCAAAAGTATTATTGGTCGTTGTGTAGCTCTTTCAAATATATCGATTCATAAAGAAATTTTCACACATATTCCATGCAATAGGTGAGATAAAAACAGGAAAGGTTCCCTGCTCTGATTCACTTCGATTTACACAGCTTTGATCCAAACATTCTCAGTTTCGAGAACAGTTTATTCTAAACCAGAAGAAAAAATTTAATTAGAAGTTGTCTTTCACTCTTTACATAAAGTTCATTTTATTTGCCGGAATGTAAGCCTTAGAAATTCAAAGGTTTGATCAATTTACGCTCGCGCGTTCAAGTCTTTTTTAAAATTTCATAGGACATCTGTAAGCATGGAATAAGTCAGCACAGAATTTAATTGTCGGCGAATTTCTGTAATCGTCCATCGCTCTACTGGTGATAAGCTTTTAGTCATTCACTCTTCTTGCTTGTTTGTGGACTGGGTCTTATTCCCTCAAAGAGAGAGAAAGAGTGTCTGGCAAATTGTTTCCAATCAAAGATTTGCGAACTCGTGTCAGGCAAACTCTCCAAGTGTTTATATATACACACAGTTATACGCACCTTATAACTTCAACTGCGCTTAACGAGTGTCTTTTGGTCCATAACTTTCAAAACAGCTGCTCCACAGAATGTCACTGATAACACGTAACGCAAAAGAGTATTGAAGTATGACTGTACAGTAAATGTCACAAAATCTACCTAACTGTTCCCTTCGGAATTTTCTGTTCTACGTCATCCTAACCATCTTTTACTTGCTTGCACGAACAACAGAAACGTCATCATTACCCAACGACTCCATGCGGCCCCTGTTCAAGCAATTAGAGATTTTTTCTGGCATACTGACTGTATATTTCAACCGTGAAAATACGCACGAGCTACTAGAGTGCCACCTCGGGATCTCCACTTCTGGGCGAAAACCCTTCGGGAGCAATAATAAAACGGCCGGAAAACAAGTTTGGTTGTACTTTATTGGCAGAACTACGCGGCGGAGATACGGGGGCACTACCACGACTCTTTATATTGTTTTGAATACCCCCAAAAAATCACTACTTAAATCAAGCCACCAAAAAATACCGGAATGGAAAATTTCAAACCCCAAAAAATCCTTCGAACATCCCCCTCACTTCAAATCTGTAGTACCCTCACTGGGAAGTCAACTCATTGCAATGGGCTTTTCTTTTCATAACACGATGTTATTTCCCCTAATTTCGAAGAGGTAATTTCTTTCCTTTTCACTTTTATAGGACATATTTCGAGAGCTTCGGCTGCCTGTGACAATCACCGCTACTTTCGGACATTAGGGAGCTTAACCAAAGACCTTTGTTAGCGAAGAAACTTTTTGTATGCCTAGTTGCTTCTGAATGTGTATTGCAAAGTGTTTTTACTCTTATTCAGACTTATAACCAGGGCAAAACCACTTCCCAAGAATGCAAAACATCCACTTCCGGTTGACGTGCGACTTCGCTCAAAAACACCTTTGCTTAAGCTTACTATTGTATTGACTATTTTCCAATTGCCCATAATACACTCTGTTTGCCCCCCAAATTTTGCATAACTTATTGCCTTAAAATGCTCTTGGGAAAATGCAATACTCCCAGGAGCATTTAAAAACAATGGTTTATGCAGAATTTGGGGGGCAAACAGAGTGTATTATGGGCAATTGGAATAGAGAATGGCATTTTGTTACAAGAGCATGGGCCAGAAATGAGATGGTAGATAGCCAACTACGGCGGCTAAACGAAAGTTTAATCAGGGTTCCTATTACAAGCGCGAGTGGAAGACTGTAAATAATAAATTACTTTTCTAAAAATAATAACAGGCTGCACTGTTTAAGCACACACATCGCACTGTTATCAAATTTATGAGAAAAGAAGAGTTGACTCGGCTAGAAAGGTGACCCGTCTAGCTGGGTCACCCTTTTTCGATGTCAAGGTCACCCTCCAAGTCAGTATAATTTCTCTCCATATAAACACTTTGGCTCGCCCAGCGGAGTCAACTAGGCCAATGTGATGCGCAGGCGCTGTTGTCAGTTCGAGGCTCTAGTAAAGGGGTGAACTTCAAACGCCTTTTAAAGTTGATTCAGTTGGGAGGGTGGCTCCTCTAGGCGTTAACCGAGGCATTACAGTACTGCTAAGGAGTGAACAAAAGTCGAAGCGCCCCAAGATTCGCATCGCTGTTGGATAACTAATTTCTAGTTTTATAAAATTAAAACAGATTAAGACCAGCGCCAAACAGGTCTCTTTCTACAACTTCCTAATATTATTATCTTCTAACAGGACACAACAAGTTAGAACGTGTAAAAGAATCATCCTCCGGCGAGCAATGAGAATTTTTCCTAAAGAAGAGGAATCCATAGAATGTGATGAGGACGCTAAATATCGCACAATCAATGGAACCTGCAACAACCTAAAAAACCCAGAATTTGGATCAATCAACACAAAATTTGAACGACTTATCCCAGCCGATTATGGCGATTGCATCTCAACCCTTCGAGAATCAGTGACTGGTCACCCGCTTCCAAACACCAGAGAAGTAAGTTTCAAAGTTCACGGCAGCAACGCAGACCGCTTAAATCCTAATTCTAGAGTACTGTCCCATCTGGCCATGAACTTTGGACAGTTCATGGACCACGACCTGTCGCTAGCGGAGGCACAGGGGGTTAACTGTGAGCCACCCGAGGACGAGGAAGAACCTGAATGTATCAACATTCATATTCCCGAAGAAGATAAGATTTTCCTTGACAGAAATATTACATTTATTGAAATGGAGAGAGAGGCTTTCATCGAACCAGATTCTTTTTGTCAACTAAGAGTTCGAGAGCATCCGAACACAATAACCGCCTATATTGACGCATCTAACGTGTATGGATCAACTGATGAGATTGCTGAAGACCTTCGTGCTGCAGACGGCCTCCTATTGGTCATGAAGCATCCACATGGCTGCCAATTCAAAAACTTACTGCCTGCTCAAGTCGACGGTTTCTGCCCAACAAGAAATTTTTTTGAACCATGTTTTTTCAGCGGAGACATACGAAACAATGAGAACCCTGGTAAGATAGGCGGGGCCATCCACATAAATTCATCTCTAAGAGGTCCCTGGGTATCAGAGACTTTTCTTGCCCGGATTCCGCTTTCGGGCTTCGCCGCTCATGGCTTCGGCTTTCCACCGAAGACGTGTCGGCCTGCCGCCGACCCCGAGACGTCTCCGCTGCTCTTGATCATCGTGCGCAAGAAAAAACCTCTGATACCCAGGGTATCCTCATGTCATGAAACACTTTTCCTTTAATTCCTTTCCCGAAAAAAAAAAAGAAGCAGAAAGAAAGACAGACAAAAACTCGAGAGATGAGTAATTTTCTCCTGCAATATTTCGTACCTCCAGTGACGCAATGTTACACTATTAAAACAGGACGAAGAACCCTACTTTAGAATCTATTTATCACCCATTTCACATAAGCCTCCTTTGAGGAAAACAACAGGGAAATCAGAGATTAATTCATCTCCCTCGATCAAACTGTTTAAGAGCGATAGGACTAAGTTTAGGTTGATATTTAAAGTACGCTTTGCATGCATACGTACATTTCCAATATATATCCAATCCAGCAAGTTCCGTTTTTTGGAGGGTAATGAAACTCCTGCAACCTGAAATGCTGCGGCATGGAAACAAAAAATTGATCTTTTCCATATAAGATACTATTACTAATTATACAAGTCATTCTCAGTACAGTACAGCAAACATGTGCAGAAATTAAGACCAAGTCCTAAGGTACTTTAATCAGTACCTAAAGAAAAACTAATTGATATTTCTAAACCTACAGGTCTAAATTCGATCCATACTATCTTCGTGCGCGAACACAACCGAATCGCAACATTTTTCATAAAGAATACAGACTGGGACCCCGAAAAGATTTATCAAGAAACCAGAAGAATCGTCGGAGTACAGCTACAAATCATAACATTCGGCGAGTTCCTGCCATTACTTTTGAGTGAGCACACGGTAGGTCTCTACAAAGCTGCACCCTACCTTTTTAGCATGTCTCCAGATTTCAGGCAACGGGGATGATCGTATGGGGGCAACAATCAAAACACAAAAAATCCCTGGACCACAAGCTAACCCCCAAAATTCCCATGCCTAATTTCCGAGCCTAATTACGTATAACCCTGAATTTGAGCAAGAAGTTAATTTTTTTCAGTTCGGGTGTTGTCTGAGTGGTCGAATATGAAACTGAAGAAAGAGAGAAGAAACTTATATCCAGTCGGAAGTGGTCAGCGAAGCGGTCGCTTACGAGAGTGGTCTCAAGTAGAGAGTTGACATGTGGGAAGAAACGGAAATTTTTCGCTGAGGAGAGGAAATAAACGGAGACAAGCAAACTGCAATCAAGCCAAGTGCTCGCGAACTTTCTCTAATACTGAAACAAGAGATCCGAACTCGTTACTCAAAAAAGCCGCTATAAAAACAGTAAATTCGCCACGTAACCACCCAAAAGAAGGGAACCTCTAACCATGCTATACTCGATAAGAAATTTGGTATTTAAAACTTAAAAAATCTACCCACATCTCTTTAAGAGGCTCCTTGCCGGGTTTGGGGCGCGGTCTTCTGTGCCAGAGGTCCTGAGTTAAATTCCCAGGGCTGAGCTCAATTCTTCGTTTGCACCTCTTTCTCTTTCCGTGTAGCTTTGTGAAAGCTTTGTCACGAATTTATTACAATTAAAACGGTGGGAACTGCCACCAAATTGGGTTAAAAATTAAAATAACCAATCAAAATATTAAAAGAGGGCATAAACATAGTCAATACACTTGAAGAAGATTGAAACGGATGACAATTGCGGTTTTTAAAACTTGTTAGCTTAACAGTTTTTCATGTTATTCAATACATCCAAGTTCACTTTTAATTGTTTGTAACGTTTGATATAGTTTGATTTAATGCTTAAAAGACATATTTAATTGTTTGACTCGAAGCCCTGACTTTGTCATTCACAAGTAATTTCTTAAGTTCGAAGACGCGTAATTGGCATTAATAGAGAAAATGAACTAGACACAGCCCCTTTGATTACCCGTAAAATAAAGCAATGACGGAGAGAGAAAGATAAATAAGTGCACCGCAGGACTCAGGATTGTAAGCCAGATGATGATTATTTCGAGCTACTAAACCTAAAATAAAGACGCATTTTTCGACCATTTACCTTTAACTTCTAACAGAATACTCTCCTTCTTTACATTTGTATTTAGCTCTACGCGTGATTATGAATAAAACGCAAACAATAAGTTATATTGCATCCGTTTACATAACAAAAAAGGTTTATTTTATGTTTGTTTACTTTCACCACTATTTAGAGAAAAGAATTTGGTCTTGTACTTCTTGAGGGAGAGGAGTATTTCACAGGCTATGACAAAGAGGTCAATGCGCAAATATTAACAGCCTTTGCCGTAGCTGGATATCGATTTGGCCACAGTTTGGTTCAAGAGCTTTTCAGTCGATTCTCTCAAGATGGCTTTGAACACAAATGCAGCAAATGTAGCAAAGACAAATTACAATTCCAGCCAATCCCAGTACTGGACTTCAATAACCCAGCACCCTTGTTCGATGTATGTAAAGGAGGCGTCGACGCCATTTTGAGGGGCTTACTTAAAGATCCTGCAGCGAAAGCTGACGGGTGAGTGAATTTATCGCGTGTACGTACACGCAGTCCTTTTGATTTGTTTAATTTTCTTGTTTAGGAGAAAATTTCAGTCTTGCTTTTAGGGTATGCATAGTTGTGAGCCTGATAAGTTTAAGACCGATTCGCGCGAATTCGCGAAACTTTGCAAGAGATAATTTAGAGTCAGTTCGAAGGATCGGAGCTCACGCTTGGCGGGCTAGAGGAGGTTTTATTATAGCCAAATTCAATTCAAGGAATTATACTGCGTTCTTTCTGTACCTTGAAGACCCTTGAAAAGCTTTCACTTTGATTATGGTAATCAAGTGTTACAACATACTCTGCATAGGCGATGAATAGATCCAATCGGCACCATTATTATCTACTCACTATCCGTCTTCTCTTTGGGTAAGAGCCTATAGTTAGGAAATCACCGAATTCACTGCAACCCACAGAGGGTCACTGAACTGTAGGTTGCGCGCGCAATGCACTATATTTAATGCGCTCTTCTTCTATCTTACTGATTAATTTTATTTGTTTGTTTTGTCGTACAGGCGCTTTTCAAGTTCAGTCCAAGAAAACCTAAGTCGCGGTGAAGGTGATACATCTGACCTAATCGCTATTAACCTTAGAAGAGGGCATGATCGTGGACTGCCTAGCTACACCAGTTTTCGCCGCTTTTGTGGCCTTCCACTTGTTAGAAGGTTCTCTGACTTGGTAACGGTTGCCCATTTTGACGAAAAGGTCGTTGCAAGATTGCAAGAAGTTTACAAGAGAGTTGGAGATATAGACTTGTTCACCGGAGGTAAGTCTGGAGTAACGATCGCATTCTTCCCATAATCATAACTATAACAAAATTCTCAAATCTGCTTGGCTATTAGCCTGCACCACAGACGAAACTAAACTATGGTTAAATTACATCTGCGAAAACAGCTAATTGGCTATCAATTGTTCTGATTTCAGCACTAATAGGACAATGTAATTGGACAGTACGCGTAATCGCGACTGCATTTGAATGTTTTGTTGTTTTAGACTACTTGCAGTCCGCCTTTTCTCTAAAATCCGTCTAGTTCTTATCTCAGCAAGCGCGATTGCAAACCACGACGATATGTTACAATAAGGGATTGGGACCAGACGAGAAAGATGGACTGCGGACTCTTTTGTAGTAAACAAACCCTCCGTCAGCCTAGAAACGGAGTAACCGATTGGTCAACTTTACAGCTGTTGACAGATCATTGACTGGTCTGTGGTGGAGACACGAGCGATAAAAATAGTCACTCGTCACAACTTACTACGAACAATTACGAACCTGGTGGTAATCGCTTGTAAACTAAAACGTTTAACGATATCTTACTGAAGGAAACTGCTGTAAATTTCCTCAAGGGAAAGGAATTCAAGGTAATCTTACCGGATTTTAAAAAAAGTAAAATTTTTCAGTTGTTTATGTTCTATTTTTACTCGGGTTTAATTGGTTAATTAAATTACCTTGACAGCTTCGTTGTACCCAGACAATAAAAAGAGTCAGCAGTCTCTTATTTTTTTCTTCTCGGACTTACGCCCTCGTTCATCGCAGCTCGCGGCTTCGCCGTTCGCGTGCTTGGGTTTCACGTGCAGTAACTTTGCAAAGAAAAATAAGAGACTGTTCGCAGTCTAGTTGTTTTTTTCACTGGTAGCAAAAACTCTCGCATTTCTTCTATTTTAATTAAAGAAGACTTAAAACATCACAAATTTCTATAGTTATGATTAATTGGTAACAGAACTTCGTGTCGTCCTATTCGGTTTGTAATCATATATACTCGTGATTAAACTAACTACATATAGCAAAAATCTTCGCGAATCTGACTAGCCGTTAGGCATCCACGATTGGAACATTTTTTCCATATTTTGATGGGAAAGTGCATGCATTATGTTTGAGTGTGAACAGGCATGCAGTTTACAGTTGTTGTTGTTTTTGTTTTTGGCTTTTTGGCCTTTTTTTTCTGGTCAGATTTGGGGCTGAAATGCAGCACAAACAAAGAAAAACTTACAACAATTGAATTGGACTCACTTAATTTGTTATTACCACTTTTTTGGTTGAAAAGTAAACTTCATTTGCTACTTCGATCTCTTCTCAGGAATGCTTGAACCAAGTGATCCTAAAGGAGGAGAACTCAGTGCAACATTTCAGTGCATTTTAGCAAATCAGTTCAAACGCACCAAATTCGGAGATCGCTTTTGGCATGAAAACGCACCTAACGTAACCTTAAACACCAACAAGACAGCATTCAACCGTTGTCAGCTAAAAGAAATCAGGAAAACACGCTTTTCCAGGATAATATGCGATAACAGTGATGACATAACCTCAATTCAAAAAGACGCTTTGATGCAGTCTTCGGTAAGGGTCAGTTGCGACGAATTGCCAAAGATAAACCTTAAAGCATGGATTACAGATTGTCCGTCGAGGTAAGTGAGAGGACAGCTGTTCATTTCTTTTAATCAAAATTTTCCTGTTTCTTTCTGGTTGCGTTTGTTACAGAATAAATAGTGATTAGTGGGAAGAAGGTGTTTAAAAATTTGAAAGAAAATTCATCTTCTTGGATGTATGATTATGTCACTTCTTGGGAATAAAAGTTTCAATTTCTAGTTTCATAAACAAATGTATCACGGCAATGTTAAACACACCGCCCCCTATGATTTGTTCATTTACTCATTTCGATTTTCCCAAAGTCGGTAGCCCGCTATCTTGACTTCTTATGGTAAACAAAAACTGAGAATAGCAAAAATTGCCCATAGGAATACCGAGATGCGATATTTTTTTGGGGGGTGGGGGGGGGGCTAGGACCGAAGGGGGACAGGGCAGGGGCTCTCAAAGTAGGCGATCCTTCTTAATCATATTTCACTACTGTACAGGACTCCTACTGACGCTGTCGATAGGCAAAAGCTCGAATTTTTTTTTCAATATCCTTATGATTAAACAAAATGCAAATTCTCTGGACTGTCTAAATCACTAAAGCATGAATCTGATCACAGCAAAAAAAGTTCGATATCACATGCCGATCGCCTCCCGTGGTGCTAGCCATTACATCAATCTCGAACAACAAGCCTTTACGTTTAGCGAGACAACCATAGCCTGCCTAGCCGGTCGGATTGTTAGCGCGAGCAAGGTATTGGCAGAACTGCAGCGAACTCGTGTGGAGAATGGGAAGGAGACGCTTTGAAATTTCACGGCGCATGCCGCGAGAATGGCGGCCACGCGCAAAAACAATTCCGCCAGGTAGGCAAGCCAAGACAACCAAAGAAGTCGTGACCTTCACCACTTCCCTATACCGTATTAACTCGATTAAACGCCGCGGTGTTTATTACTTTATAATTTCAAAATCTCAGTTCTTATATCACTGATCGAGCAGTTTCGATATATCATTCATATATATTACAAAACAGAAAGGCGTTCTAAGTCTCGCTTGCCTGCTGAGATAAAATCGTAACTGTCCGGAAGGGTCTTCTGTTTCATTTTTTTTTCCCGGTTAAGATAAACTCAAGAAATTGGCCTGCTTCCAATGAGGTCTTCATAGCTCAGTTGGTAGAGTACCGCAGAGCTAAAGCAGAGGCCATAGGTTCGAATACCGTTTAAGTTCCGAATTTTTTTCGGGTTAATTGCAATTACCACTGCGACGATCATATCTTCATTAAAATGACTTTCTTTTCTTATTATCTTCGAATAAACGCCCCATTCTTCTGACTCGGCACGGCATTTAATCGAGTAAATACGATAATCAATGTTTCTTTGCATCTATTCAGGGATACTCAAGCAACGGACCTCTCGCGATCCAACGCTGAAGTAAGGGGAGAGGGAGGTGGGAGGGAGGAGTCATTTTCCTAATATTTAAGTTATAATTTCACAAGAGCAGGAAATGTAAATTTTAAAATAGGATACTCTCTCAAAAGCGTTTTCGCAACCGTTGATGTATCTGTGTTCTTTTTTTTCTTCTGCACAGTGACTCTGTATACAGCGACGAGCCTGAGGACACGCATGATGAGTTTTAAATGAAGAACGCAGAATCACTCGCTTATCATATGCCTTTCAATTAGACTGCATTTAGGTTAGAAGAAACATACATGTATACCATTATTTTGCACACAAAGTCATGACACCCTTCTTGAGCGAATTGTAATTATATTTTCGAGTTTTTCTTTTCTTTCGATCGGTGAGACTTGACGTTTGATTTTTACACTGAAAGGGGCTGTGACGTCATGGCTATCTAGTTCATATTATTTTCGCTATAGGTCTTGGAAATTTTACTTGTAAATTACACAAATACCGAAAGCTTCGTGTCAAACAACTGTTAGGAAACATGTTTTTCAAAACCTACAATTGCAATCCGTTTCAATCTCCCTCAAATTTGACCATCCGTACTTCCGTTTGTATTTACTTTGTTATTTGTACTTTCTTTTAACGTTTTGAGCGGTAAATTGAAAGTTGCTCCCATTGTTTGTTTTGAATAAATTTCGTGACACAGCCAGTCCGTTTGTGTAATAGTTTCAGTAGTAGATCTGGAATAATCAAGGATGCCTTCTTCATAACAAAGGTTTTTGTCAAACAGCGTATTGTATCCACTTCGCGGAGGCTCACTCTATTTGACACAACTTAACGATGCACCCATATTCTTCTCAAAATGTATAAATAAAAAATGGTGCTGAAATGATGAATTATCACTGTTGCTTTATGGTTGTTATGGGCTGTCCTGAAAGCTCCTGATCGGTACAAGATTCCTCCTCAATTTGTCTTAAATCTGTTTTTTGTTCAGGGCTACTGTAGCCTGTGCCAGGCTCTCAGAAATATAGTGGGGACGTATTCAAACGAGCAGAGCGAAAATAAGACTCACGCGACTTGAGAAAGGGGCTGTGGCGGCGGGAAAAATGGGAGAGAGGTTTGGGTTAGGGTTAGGGTTAGCCCCCGCGCGTTTTTCGCATTTCTTTTTACACCTTTTTACTGAACGACTCTTCACCACTACCTTGGAGCCTGGAACAGGCTAGGACTACTGCTGCTGATGATGAGTTCACCAATACCTCGGTGAAAAAACACCAACACCACCACAACACCGCCGACTCTTGTCTGTGAACAGTGTCCTGGGAGTTGGGGAGAGACAAGAGGGTTGGGGGTAGGGTGGGTCTCCCCTCCTGTTCCTTTTTCTTCCCATTTCTTCTCCGTCTGAATTCCCTTATCTTTGTTCTTTCTTGCGTTTTCGTTATATCTCTCACTTAAGTTAGAGAGCCTGTTTATCCTTGCCTTACGATTGCAATCTTTTAATGAAAGGAACAGTGGCTGTAGCGTCCTAATCAGTGTTAGATAAACGACCGAATTAAAGGCACAAGGAACATTTGGCTTAATTTTGCACGTTTTGGGACTTTTCACAGGTGTCGAAATTATTGCCAATGAGCTAGGAAAACCCATTTATATTTGTTCTCGCTTTTTTGCAGTCTGGGGCACCCAACGACGGTTTCCTCCTAATCCATTAAAAACACTTTTTAGGTTATCCAGAGTACTTTTAGATCTTTAGAAATGCATTCTAAGCGGCGCTATAACTGAAATTTGTATCTGTTCGGTCATCCTAGGGGAACTTGAGTCTTTCGAAATTACAAGGGCTTCAGTATTATTTTCCCGAAAATTATAGATGCAATGTAAAGTAACGCGAAAGTGAGAATTTTACTGATTCCTCTCTCCATCCCATTTTTGAATCCGAAAAGTTAATGGGTTTCCTTCTTTTTACGAAAAATAGCCTAACGCTGGGAGTGAAATGTGAAAAATTAAACTTATAAAATCGTAGGGAATTTATTATATATTAAGTTTCTAAATTAAAATTAAATTAGCCGTCCTAAAGCAGAAGAAAATTTTTAGTTAGGCATCATCTGCTTCTCCGAACAGATATTTCACAGAAAACAGTCGTTGGGTGGCCCTGACCAGTGAGGGGCGATGTTTGAAACAGGCCTTTTTTGATATTTCCTCCTTGATACGTGATAAAAGCCAGCGCTTTCATCATGCAATTGACGTTGATTAATTCCCAAGCTACAAGCTTATTGATTATTATACCCTTTGACAAAATTTGAACGAAAGCGGAAAAACGGAGAAACAAAATTAGCCGCTTGGTGTTCTCATTCTGAAAGGCACTTTAGTACAAAACACGTGAGCTCAAAACAGTGGTATGTTTCTGACTTTTCACTTTATTAATGTTTTTTTTTTTTTCGGCTTCAACGAGAGGGTTAGTATTTCAATGCTCCGGTAGACCGTTCCCATCCTGAAAGAACCTTGCAAAAAGGCCTAAAGAATCATAATTACATCCAGTTCTAGAATTCCAGTGTATTTCAGGTAACATTTGCATAATTCCAGACTCTTCCACCAAACAATTTCCGAACAGTCTCTAAACAAAGAAATATTGCTCATTCCATTTTAACTGGCATATAATGTACTTTTTTGTTATATTGTTCACCTCTACAATTGTGAGTTTACTTACTAGGGTATGTTCGAATAGGGAATTAAGGACGAAATAAACTAACAACTTGAAGGAACACAAACTGTGCAAAAGAATAGAACTGCTGTAGATTGTTAAAACAGCTGAGTAAAAAGACAAACTGAAATCAATGTCCGGCGCCGCCATATGTATGCTCTCCTGCAGCTGTACTCTTGTCCCTTTTATTTTGCACAAAGGCCGCGCACTCGTTTAAAAATTGACTCGCGCCTATAGTGACTACAGTCGTTCCGTTCTCACGACGTAATGTCACCCTGAATCGACCAATGAGCATGTCTATCTGCTCAACATATTCCATTCACTGAATTATTAGTTATCTTTAAATCTTCTCGATATTTTTTAACAGAAAGGTCCGCTTGAAGAATGTCGTTTCTTTGCATACACGCCGACTAAAATATTCAAAAAATGCAGATCAAAACAGGAAAAAAGAGAAGCACCAGCGGTAAGGTTTTGGTACAAGGTAGCCACATTTCTGAGCCGGATAAAACTATAGGTAGTTAAAATTTTTTTTCTTTGATGCTTTCCCAGCTATGTTGGCATGCAACACTGTTCATGAAGACTTTGCCAAATTTTCTTTGCACGGATCACCGATGTTTCACCAAGAGAGGGGGAGGATAGCAAAAACTCAAGACCCGGGGGAGGATTACTAAACAAAGTTTGACACGAGAAGGCTCTGCACCGATATCCAATCCCTTTTATATTCCACGGTACCCCTTTCAAATACCTATACTTAAGGAAACTGTTTCCCTTTGGAAGGAAATTGATAACATCAAAACAAATTTTAAAAAACAGCTCAAAACAAGGCGGTATGATTGAAATATATTTAATTTAAGGCCCCTTTAAACACCTAATTGCCTCCCGTGAAAAAGGTATTCCTTTCGGGCGGGAGCTTACCTGTATAGGAACTTACTCTCGGGAGTAACCCATCTCCCTCCCCCCTGACCTGATTAGACGAACATTTCAATAGATAAGCCCAACATAAAAAGCCAAGAAAATTCTCTCAGAGCTATTTATTGTACCTATTCACGTGTACAAAAAGTGGTATTACAGCTGTTTCGGATAACGCGACCTGCCATGTCTTAGGATTTTGAGTCTTGCTGCGACATCACTTAAACTCTGAAGGCTCGGCGCTATCTAGCGGACCTCTCAGGAGACAGAAGTTTACTTCCACGGGTTCAAAAGGTCATGGTTTGTGATTTGTGACTGATCGATTTCGATCCGTTTTATGTGCTATACGATTGCATTCTCGGGTTTTGATGTTTAACTTAATAAGTTTACAAAGTTACTACGAGTATAGAGTAAGTTTAGAAAGAGGTTGTAATTCTCAACTGTATACTGTCTATTTTTCACCCAAGTACCACTTTTTAGCGACACTACTTAAACTTACTTATGCTTTGCCGCATTCTAGGTGCAAGGCTGATTAAAGAGCTAATGTAACCCTTAAACTGCTAAGAGTCAATCATTTCCCAATCTACCTTTTTCAAGTTTACAATTGTGCCGAACAACAATTTTACTGAAAGCCTGAGAATCAAAGAATCAAAATGGTCTTAAAATCCCATTAAAGACACAAGCCAGCCCTATGCGACAATTGCTCCACTCTCATCCCGGAAAAACTATCCAACTATAACAGCTTTTTTTAAAAACCACAAAAATTAATAAGGAAAATAAGCAACCTCAAAAGATTCCGAACAAAAAACAAGAGTCACAATGGTTTCAATAGAACTGACACATACTCTCCTTCCAAGAGGACATTTGAAAAGGAAAGAAACATCAAGGAAATCAGTATTATGTTCGAATATCTGAACAACTTTTCCTGGTTAAGGAAACATGCTCAGCACAAAATGTTTAACGCTTTGTAATATTCTAGCAATTTCTGACATTGAGCCACCAGCCGACTTTGTCAGACCTTGTACGACAACAGAGCACTCGCACTAAGGAAAAACTGCCCGACTGGAAAAGCCTTATTTAAAAACAACAAAATCATAACAACCTCTTAGTCTTCCAGGCCAATAGCTATAATAAATATTTCCAGTAGAATATAATCCTTCCAATTGCAAGGAGACAGTGGTTAAATCGAAAATAAACTAGTGGAAATGTAATTGTTGAGATCGGTTATTGGAGCCACTTTTCTCATTCAAAAGGGACAAAAGACATTGAGCTGCCTGTTGTATAAATAGATAGACGACCGCATTCTTTTAACAGTTGCTCTTTGTTTTTCCCACACTTTATTGTCTCATTTAGTTTCGTTTTATTATAAAAGAACAAAAGCCTAACGGCAAAATACAATGTGACGATAATAGATCATACAAATTTTCCGGGTTGCGGGTATAAAATTTGTTAACTTTAGTCTTACTAGCTGGGCTCAGTAAATTCATCTACGCCAAATGCACGGAGACGAATGAACGATTGTCCCGTAGTCTTTTCAGAGGGAGTTTACCGGTAAGACTTAATCAGGTGAGTAATATTTTTTCTTTTGTCTTCCAAAACTGCGACCATAACAATTGGCAAAGTTTGATATACCTCCCTTTTAAAGGGGCACCTGTCCAGACAGCACTCATAGACACGAACAAGCTCACAAATAAAAACTGCGAGACGCTCCCTGCCACCAAGTTCCTCCGCTACATACACAAATAGTCAGTGGAAAGATTTCAGAATCTGAGAATGTCTTATTCGCCGTATGTATCCAAGCGTCATCCCAAACAATAAAAATTGAATAGTTATTGAAATAAAACAATACAAAAAACTAAGCACATAGTCAGCTCAAAAATAACATAAACTGTGATAGCCTGATCTCGCTGTGAACAGCACGTCGAGTGTTGGTCTCCAAACGGAGGGCAAACGAAGTCGCAGGAGGTTAGTAAATGTTGCCTTTAACCAATTACGGTACACTGACTAAGCCAAGAGAACGTAATTTATTAATAGCCTTTTTCTTCCCATTTCTTCTCCGTCTGAATTCCCTTATCTTTGTGCTTTCTTGCGTTTTGTCATATCTCTCATTAGTTAGAGAGCCTGTTTATCCTTGCCTTACGATTGCAATCTTTTAATGAAAGGAACAGTGGCTGTAGCGTCCTAATCAGTGTTAGATAAACGACCGAATTAAAGGCACAAGGAACATTTCGCATAATTTTGCACGTTTTGGGACGTTTCACAGGTGTCGAAATTAGTGCTAATGAGCTAGGAAAACCCATTTATATTTGTTCTCCCTCTCTTTCAGTCAGGGGCACCCAACGACGGTTTCCTCCTAATCCTTTAAAAACACTTTTTAGGTTATCCAGAGTACTTTTAGATCTTTAGAAATGCATTCTAAGTGGCGCTATAAAATTTGGATCTGTTCGGTCATCCTAGGGGAACCTGAGTCTTTCGAAATTACACTGCACGAAAGTAAGAAGTTTACTGATTCCTCTCTCCATCCCATGTTTGAATCCGAAAGTTTAATAGGTATCCTTCTTTTTACGAAAAATAGCCTAACCTGGGGAGTGAAATGTGAAAAATTAAACTTATAAAATAGTTGGGAATTTATTAGATAAGCTTCCAAAATTAATTGTACTATGCGACAATGGCTCCACTCTCATTCCGGGAAATCTATCCAACTATAACAGCTTTTTTGAAAAACCAGATAAGGAAATTAAGCAACCTCAACAGGTTCCAAACAAAAAGCAAGGGTCACAATGGTTTCAATAGAACTGACACTCCTTCCAAGAGGACATTTGAAAAGGAAAGAAACATCAAGGAAATTAGTTATGTTCGAATATGTAAAAATACTTTTCCCGGTTAAGGAAACATGCTTAGCACAAAATGCTTAACGCTTTGTAATATTCTAGCAATTTCTGACACGGAGCCACGGGCCAACCTTGTCAGACCTCGTACGACCACACAGCACTCGCACCATGGAAAAACTACCCAACTGGAACAGCCTTAATTAAAAACAACAAAATCATAACAACCTCTTAGTTTCTCAAGCCACTAGCTATAATAAATATTTCCAGTATCATATAATCCTTCCAATTACAAGCAGACAGTGATTAAATCGAAAATAAACCAGTGGAAAAATGTAATTGTTAAGATCGATTATTTGAGCCACTTTTCTCATTCAAAAGGCACAACAGACACTAAGCTGCCTATTGTATAAATATAGATAGATGACCGCATTCTTTTAACAGTTGCTCTTTGTTGTTCCCACACTTTATTGTCTCATTTAGTTTCGTTTTATTATAAAAGAACAAAAGCCTAACGGCAAAATACAATGTGACGATAATAGATCATACAAATTTTCCGGGTTGCGGGTATAAATTTGTTAACTTTAGTCTAGTTGGGCTCAGTAAATTCATCTACTGTAGGGAATCCACGGAGACGAGTGAACGATTGTGTCGTACTTTTTTCAGAGGGAGTTACTGGTAAGACTTAATCAGGTTAATATTTTTCTTTTATCTTCCAAAACGCAACCATAGCAATTGGCAAAGTTTGATATGCCTTCCTTTTTAAGTGACACCGGTCCAGACAGCACTTTAGACATTAACATCCGCACAAATAAAAGCTGCGAGATGCTTCTTCCCGCCACCAAGTTCCGCCGCTACATGCACAAATAGACAGTGGAAAGAATTCACAATCTGGGAATGTCTTATTCGCCGTATGTATTCTACCATCATCCTGAAAAATAAAAATTGCACCGTCATATTGAAATAAAACAATGCAAAAAAACTAAGCATTTAGTTCTCAAAACACTGAGATCGCTGTGAACAGTATGCCGAGTGTTGGTCTCCAAACAGAAGACGATTACAATCAATGTGAATCGCAGGAAGTTATAAATGTTGCCTAACCAAAGATTTCAAAGATTTCGTTAAATTTAGCTAGTCTGTCTAGTCTAATAGGAAGACGGTCCTTTTCGAAGAATGGGAAAAACTTTAAGTTACGGTTGACGAAGCCTAGTACGTAAGGGGCCGTCGACATATTCACTTCCCCCCGCTTAACGTCAACTGGGCGTTTAGGTCAGACCCCCCCCCTCCCTCCTCCTTAACGTCCACTTGAAATTGTGCTGCCCCAAAAATCACTGCATTCCAGTACTGACATGCACTTTTTACGTGAAGATGTCACCGATTTACTGTTTTAAAACGTGGTAGAAACTTCATACATCGAATTATGCTTTGTCCTACCTGTTTTCTTGCAAAATCTACATAGCTGCTTTTTCCTGTCAATGCTTTTGATTCCCTACTACACTACAGTATTCAGAGGTCAAAGCCAGAATCGCTGGTACAAGACCGTCATGTCGGCCGCCATGTTATTAAACAACATACTAAACCTACTGGCCAGCGGCATTCCATTTTCTAATTCATGTATGCATTACTCTTTCGTTACTCTGAAAGCACGGATTTATACTTTACTCAGTTTAAGTTAAAGTATTGTCAATTGTTGTTAGATTGAAGTGAAAATGATTGCCTCGGATTTTGTCCGATGAGGGTGAACGGATTCTCAAAAAAGAACGCTGACGTTCAAAGGATGTATTGAAAAAAGATTCCAGTTGTGTTCACAAACGTAACTAACCATAATTTTTGGTATTGTCAAAATTTTAGTGATTTAGGACAGAGTTTAAAAGATCACAATGTAAAGTGTACAATTTGTTAGTAGTTAAGGGCAGAGTTTAAAAGATCACAATTTACACTCACTTCTTTAATTGGTCCTGCTTTCTCTTTAATTATGTCACGAGCGCCGTTCCACACATGACGTATAATTTATGAAAATGCATCAGTTTGCTTTTGTCCAAAAATGCCCCGCACTAACGTCCACTGCCTTACTCCTTCCCCCGCTAAACGTCCAGTTGACGTTAAGCGGGGGATAAGTGAATATGTCGACAGCCCCTAATTTGTTAATAGCCAAGGCAAAACTGTGTCGTTGTCAGGCCTTCTATGTTTCACAGTATTTTGCAAATTCCACTCAAACTGAATGACATGTAAACAAGAAAGAATTTCCTTTTTACTTGGGGTTGACATTTTTATGCTGACATAGAACATCTGTTACCAGGTGAGCCATTTCGCTGTGTTTCTACGCAATTGCTTGGAATTTTACTTAGTTCACTCGAAAACTATAAGTACAGAAAAACCATCGAGTTTTTACTGTTTCACTTATCAGGTTTGCGTCTTTTTCCTTTTAATTTAGTTTGCTTGTTTTTTTTGTTGTTGTTTTTTGTTTTTTTTTCCTTTACAAATTTAGTTTGTTTTTTGCCATATAGATATATATATTATTTTTCATAGTTAAAATAACAAGTATTTATAATTATTTTTTTTTTGTCAACAAATAAAAAAAATAAAAAAAACCTGTGTTTTAAGAACCTGTTAAGCTCTGTTAGGATAAAATTTGCTAGTTAGGATCTCTCTACACAAGAAACTGTTTAGCCTAAAACCCATTTCTAAAATCTACAAAAATTCTGTAAACTTGGGAGAGTAAGATAAGTCAACAGTTCAGAATCCTCTTCGAAGACGTAGGTGCCTCATCACTCCATCTACAAAGTACATAGTTTGCAGATTTTAAAGTCATAAGGAACAAGCTGAATACCAGAGGTAAATAAACCTCTAAGATACAATGTACTTTTCTACGAAAAACGTGGGTTCTCCGAAAATTTTGGATCTAGGAGTCTTGGATTCGTCGTTTTTTCTTTTCCGTTTGGTCTTAGGAGTCGAAATTTTTAGAGTTCATGGGGAAAGCTTATCGAACTAAGCAAGCAGATTATTAAGACACTGTCTTCCATCGGCATTTTCGGCCAGTTCTTAAGTTTTATTTGTACTATTATCTCGAAATTTTCGGCGCTTAGAGTCTCGGGCTTGGATTTTTTAGAACCAAAGTCTCGTGCTCAGAATTGATAAGAACGCATAAGTCTCGGTCTCGAATAAACCAGAGTCTCGCAGTCTAGCGAAGTCTCGAATTTATCATTCTAATTACCCCCATAATTTCTTGCGTGTTTTTACTGAATTCAGACAGAGTAAACAATATCAGCGATCGAGTTCACCAGACAAGCAAGAAAAAACGAATTCAAGCCATCATCATTACTTGCAAGCTTTTCGGACTGTCTACCACCCTGACCGATTCTAAAAGAACATCCGTTGCAATTCATTCAGCGTGTGCGTCATAGCATGTAACAAAACTAATTGTTATTTGAGATAAGAGTTGCTTATTTAAGATTAGGTTCGATACCATGGAAGAAACATCAATTTTCAGGGCCCACTATTGTATCCCGTTGCTGGGTAACCCAATGATAATGCACGTGGAAATTGACCTCTGGCTCACGTATTTCGCGCATTTTGGATAGCAGGCCGCGCGTGATTTCTTTTCTTTCTTTCTTTTTTTTTCTTTTTTCTTTCTACGAGAGGTACCCCTACTGTTAGGTACCTACCATAACTTTGTGGAAAAAACATTTTACATCAGTAGATTCACCTAGCAACCTTTGATTGTGGTATTGCGTCCACTACAATAGTGGATAAGGTGGTGCGGGAGGGTATGTGTAAATTTGTGTGCGTTAATTTTTAGGAAAAGCACTGATATTGAGCGACCAACAAACTGCAATGCAGCCACGTCCAACACAATGTACGGTGCAAAATAAAATAAAAGGAACTGAAGGGTTGGGGGATATTATAGCTAAACCTTAGCTCAAGGTTTCTAGAGCAAACAGATCCACTAGCTATAACCGTAACAAAATGCCTGCGGTATTGACACATGAAAGTACTAAAAGGTCTTGAAAATAAAAAGTAGTTGAACACTTACTCTAAAATACATCAGATAACCTCTGCAGTAGACAAATTAGCGAGCAAAATAAATGGAAACTCCTCAGCTAGTAGACAAAAATTCCTCTTATTACGGACGTGACCCGCAAAAGGTAGCAAAAAAATATTTTTTTGGCGCTCACGCCAATAGGTAATCGTCAGCATACTGACGTACAAAATGGAAGGAGTCTGGGGATGAATTTATCCCTAATGAATGAAAAATGAAATGGCTGGGAAAAGGGGGGTTACCCTCCTTAAAAAAAAAACTTTTTAAAAAATATAAATTGCCAACCAGAAAGTATAATCACCTATAGTATTATTTCGTTCTTTAAGTGGCTGTCCACTTAAGAGCGGTCCGTCTAGTTTGGGATTGCCAGTAAACCTTCCCTCTATGTTTTGTGGGTGAAAAGGACTTAATGAGGAATGATTTAAAATCGAGCTAATTTTTTTCAAAAACTTCGCTACAGCATAAAACTTCTTTCCTGTCTGAGAACGCTTCTTCAACTTTATTCAGTGGCCAAAATTCTGTAATTTTAAAAGCCGCGCTTCTTCGTAACGGATAAATATCGCGAAATTCTACATAGTACAATGGATTTAGCTGCATTTGACTTGTCCTATGACGGAATCTTGGATAATTTGACGCAAAATTAAATTAAATTAATACGATCAAAGACGAGCCACTTTGCAGTTTTTTTTCTCCCTCGACAAATTTCTCCAAAGTAAAAGCTAAAATCTCCAAAGCGGTACAAAAATCACAGGCAAAATGCACTTCACAGCAAAGATCTTACCTAATTCTGTTAGACAATTAAGTCAAACGTGCGGGTATCGTTCTGGGTTGGACGTGATCAAACGTTTTTAAGAGCCTCTTTTCGGCATTATTTGCATAGATTTGCCCGATTAACGGTTCACACACAACAACTTTAATTTAGTAGATATTTTCTCAGCAGCTGAGAACGTTGTTGTGTATCCTCAAAATAACGAACACGTGTTTTGTTTTTACTAGCCTTTTTAAGTTTGTATAAATGAAAGCCGAAAAAAATAAAAATAACCTCCAAGAGTGTATAGTAATCGGTGTCATAAAACAACACTAAACTGAAAATTTGATGGTATACAAGCGGCTTATACACAATCCCGGTTTAGTGGTTCAAAAGGTGGATATAGCTTATCTCTTGATAAGGATCTTATTCATTATTTGCTTATTGAAAATAAGAAAGTGAATACGAAATAACGATGTAGAAATTAAAAGCATGGAAACGATGAACTACTCGAACTACTTATTTTCAGAACTTAAGTCCTTTTCCGTCCAGAACCAAAATCTGAATCATAATCAAAAATAGTATTTTGGCGCCATATTTCCATACATGCTACTAAAAATACTAACTTAAAACTAATTCAATTATTTTTCTAGTCAACCATGAATAGACGTTTACTGGTCAGTTTGATATTCCTGCTGGCCATAGACTTGGTCTCAACGTACGTCATTGAGGATACATTTTCCGGCACGGGAGAAGTGTTAGATGAAATTTCTAACCTGGAAGACGTACAGGAAAGAAACTTACCCAAAGAGCCTCTTGTTCACATCCCCCGCCTGAAAGAAAAACACAAAGACAGCTTCCTTGAAGTTAGTCAAGAAGATGCTTTCGAGACTATCAAAACAAGGGCTATGAAACTCGCCGCAAATGAATGCTCCAACATAACTGTTAAGGAAAGGAATCTAGAGGCGGAAAGAGAATCATCCTTGAGACCAAACTATCAGGCTTTTCAGCACGGAAGCAAGAATTTTATGACCGACGAGCAGTATAATGCTGCCGCGAAGAGCGAAAAATGCAGCGCATGCGTTCTGAATACTCTGTGCAACGACACATCTATTCGGCAACTGTTGAATATTAACACCAGTCTCCCTGAGTGAGTACAACATATTTACATTTACATACGATTTAGATTTACTAAGGCTTAATTTTAACCTACGTGTACATTAAAGGGGACTGATTATAGTAGTTTGGTAGAGTAAATGTCAAACCCTACATGTCATGGTATACACCTAATTGAAGAGGTAAGAAGAAAGGATCAAAATAATTTCACATAAAATCGTGTAATGAGAAGAAGGGAACATTTCAATGAGTTGACTTATTCTAAAATTACATAAATCTAAGAATGAAATTTATATGCCTATTCAACTACACGCACCCCAACATTTAATCATAACTCTCATCATAACTACGGGTGGTCTTATATGCGTAATCCTCCAAATGAGCGTGGCGGTATGGGAATTAAGGTAAAAGATCCAGGAAGATAAATAATAACTGGAATTCTCAATTTAAAAAAAACACCTTACCATTCCAGACGTAAACTAAGTAAACTCTCCTACTAATAGGTTGAATAGACATAGAAGTTTCATTCTTATTTACTAGGTAATTTTAGATTATACCTAAGTCAACCCCAGGGGGGAAGAGGGGTACTCCGGTGGCGGAGTTTATCGAATGAGAGCAAAAATCAAAACCCGAACAATCCTTAAGGCTTCCAACGAAACCCAAAAAACCCTGGACCAAAAATTAACCCCCAAAATATCTCACGCCGAATTTCCGAGCCTTAAAAATTTCCAGATGCAATGTAATGCATTTTAGTAAAATCCAGCTAGTGGTCTATTATTAATGCTGCGTTCTGATTGGTTGAGCTACTACAAGGCTATATGTTATAGCCCACAAGTGGCGAAAAGCGCCGGCTTTTGGCGGCAAAAAAGGATTAAAGTCTACCGTTAACTAGCTAAAGCTGTTTTGTCTCGATATTTTTTTACCAACTACTTGGATTTTACTAAAGCAATTATTCCTCTCTCCCTCACGGCCTCTGAGTCAATAGCCCATTCGGCCTTCGGCCTCATGGGCTATTGACTCAGAACCCATTCGGGCTCGAGGAATAATTATTGAATAGTTGACACTACAGCTGCCCCCGCTCTGTATATTGTCGGTCAATAGTATGATTGGTCGTTGTGTAGCTCCGGTTCAAATATATCGATTCATAATGAAGATTTTCTCACATATTCCATACAGCAGGTGAGATAAAAAACAGGACAAGAAAAGTTCCCAGCACGGATTCACTACGACTTTCACAGCTTTGATTAAAACATTCTCAGTTTCCATTCAAAATAATTTATTCTAAACCACAAAAAAAAGATTTAATTAGAAGTTGCAATTTTTCGCTATTTCTCTTTCACTTTTTACATACTGTTCATTTTATTTGCCGGAATGTAAACCTTAGAAATTCAAAGGTTTGATTAATTCACGCTCGCGCGTTCTAGTCTTTTTCCCGGAACTTCATAGAAGGACATCTGTAAGCAGGGAATAAGTCAGCACAGAATTTAATTGTCGGCGAATTTCTATAATCGTCCATCGTTCTTCTAGGGATAACCTAGCCGTTGATTCAATCGCCTTGCTTGTTTGTGGACTGGGTCTTTAATATTCCTCCAAAGAGAGAGAAAGAGAGTCTGTCAAATTGTTTCCAATCTAAGAAATTGGCAACTCGTGTCTGGTAAACAAGTGTTTAATATCAGTTATACGCACCTTGTTATAACTTCATCTGCGCTTAACGAGTGTCTTTTGGTCCATAAATTTCAAAACAGCTGCTCCACAGAATGTTGCTGATAACACGTGACGCAAAAGAGTATCGAAGTATGACTGTACAATAAGTGTCACAAAATCTACCTATTAGTAACGGGTCCCTTCCGGATTTTCTGTTTTACGTCAACATCTCTAACTTGCGGGCGCAAACAAAACAAACGTCATCATTACCCAACGATTCCATGCTGCCCCTGTTCAAGCAAATCGAGATTTTTTTCTGGTATACTGACTGTATATTTCAACCGTGTAAGTACTTTTCTTAATATACGAGCGAGCTACTAAAGTGCCTTCTTGGGATTTCCCATTCTGGGCGAAATGCGGGGGCAACAATAAAACAGCCGCAAAACAAGTTCGGTTGAACTTTATTCGCAGAACTACGCGGCCGAGATACGCGGGCACTACCACGACTCTTCACATTGTTTTGAGTACCTCCAAAAAAATACTTGCCAAATTTTCCTACCCCAAAAAATGCCGGAATGGAAAATCTCAAACCCATAAAAATCCTTCGATCATCTCCCTCACTTGAAATCCGTAGTACCCCCAGGGGAAGTCAACTCATTGCGATGGGCTTTTCTTTTCATAACACGATGTTATTTCCCCTAATTTCGAAGAGGTTATTTCTTTCCTCTTCACTTTTGTAGGACATATTCCAAGAGCTTCGGCTGCCTGTGACAATCACCGCTACTTTCGGACATTAGGAAGCTTAAGCAAAGAACTTTTTTATTAACGAAGAAACTTTTTGTATGCCTAGATACTTCTAAACGTGTATTGCAAAGTGTTTTACTCTTATTCAGACTTATAACCCAAGGAAAACCACTCTCCAAGAATGCAAAACGTCCACTTCCGATTGACGTGCGACTTTGCTCAAAAACGCCGTTGCTTAAGCTCCCTATTGTATTGTATTTTGTTTCAAGAGCATGGGCCAGAAATGAGATGCTAGATAGCCAACTACGGCTAAAAGAAAGTTTAATCAGGGTTCCTATCACAAGCGCGAGTGCAAATTACTTTTCTAAAAATAATAACAGGCTGCACTGTTTCACAGCACACATATCGCACGCTTATCAAATTTATAAGAAAAGAAACGTTGACTCGGCTAGAAAGGTGACCGCTGGGTCACCCTTTTTCGATGTCAAGGTCACCCTCCTAGTCAGTATAACTTCTCTCCATATAAACACTTTGGCTCCCCCAGCGAGGTCAACTAGGCCAATATGATGCGCAGGCGCTGTTTTCAGTTCGAGGCTCAAGTAAAGAGGTGAACTTTAAACGCTTTTTAAAGTTGATTCAGTCGGGAGGGTGGCTCCCTTTCCGTTAACCGAGGCATTACAGTACTGCTAAGGAGTGCACACACGTCGAAGCGCACCAAGATTCCCATCGCTGTTGGATAACTAATTTCTAGTTTTATAAAATTAAAACAGATTAAGACCAGCGTCAAACAGGTCTCTTTCTACAACTTCCTAATATTATTATCTTCTAACAGGAGAGAACAAGTTAGAAGGTGCAAAAAAATCATCCTCCGGCGAGCAATGAGAATTATGCCTAAAGAAGAAGAATCCATAGACTGTGATGAGGACGCCAAATATCGCACAATCAATGGAACCTGCAACAACCTAAAAAACCCAGAATTTGGATCAATCAACACAAAATTCGAACGACTTATACCAGCCGATTATGGCGATTGCATCTCAACCCTTCGAGAATCAGTGACTGGCCACCCACTTCCAAACACCCGAGAAGTAAGTTTCAAAGTTCACGGCAGCAACGCAGATGGCTTAAATCCTAATTCTACAGTACTGTCCCATCTGGCCATGAACTTTGGACAGTTCATGGACCACGACCTGTCGCTAGCGGAGGCACAGGGAGTTAACTGTGAGCCACCCGAGGACAAGGAAGAACCTGAATGTATCAACATTCATATTCCCAAAAGCGATAGGATTTTCCGTGACAGATATATTAAATTTATTGAAATGGAGAGAGAGGCTTTCATCAAACCAGATTCTTTTTGCAAACTAGAAGTTCGAGAACATCCGAACACAATAACCGCCTATATTGACGCATCTAACGTGTATGGATCAACTGACGAGATAGCTGAATCACTTCGAGCTGCAGACGGCCTCCTATTGGTCATGAAGCATCCACATGGCTGCCAATTCAAAAACTTACTGCCTGCTCAAGTCGACGGTTTCTGCCCAACAAGAAATTTTTTTGAACCATGTTTTTTCAGCGGAGACATACGAAACAATGAGAACCCTGGTAAGATAGGCTGGGCCATCCACATAAATTCATCTCTCTGAGGTCCCTTGGTGTCAGAGACTTTTCTTGCGCGGATTCTGCTTTCGGGCTTCGCCGCTCGTGGCTTCGGCTTTCGACCGAAGACGTGTCGGCCTGCCGCCGACCCCGAGACTTCTCCGCTGCTCTTGATCATCGTGCGCAAGAAAAAACCTCTGATACCCAGGGTATCCTCATGTCATGAAACACTTTTCCTTTAATTCCTTTCCCGAAAAAAAAAAGAAAAAGAAAAAAAGAAAGAAAGAAAGACAAAAACTCGTGAGATGAGTAATTTTCTCGTGCAATATTTCATACCTCCAGTGACGCAACGTTACACTATTAAAACAGGACGAAGAACCCTACTTTGGTTATCACCCATTTCGCGCAAACCTCCTTTGGGGAAAACAACAGAGAAATCAGGGATTAATTCATCTCTCTCGATGAAACTTTTGAGAAATATAACACTAATTTTAGGCTGATTCTTTAGGTCCTTTGCATGCGTACGTACATTTCCAATATACACATCATTTTTGCTCCAATCCAGTAAGTTGTTTTTTGTAGGGTAATGATTAAAAGCTCTTGCAACCTTAAATGCTGCTGCATGAAAAAATAATTGATCTTTCCCATATAAAATACTATTACTAATTATACAAGTCGTTCTCAGTACAGTTCAGCAAACATGTGCAGAAATTAAGACCAAGTCCTCGGGTACTTTACTCAGTACACAAAGAAAAACTAATTATCATAATGATATTTCTAAACCTACAGGTCTAAATTCGGTCCATACTATCTTCGTGCGTGAACACAACCGAATCGCAACATTTTTCATAAAGAATACAGACTGGGACCCCGAAAAGATTTATCAAGAAACCAGAAGAATCGTCGGAGCAGAGCTACAAATCATAACATACGGCGAGTTCCTGCCATTACTTTTGAGTGTGCACACGGTAGGTCCCTGCAAAGCTACACCCTACCTTTTTAGCATGTCTCCAGATTTCAAGTGACGGGGATATCGTTTGGGGGCAACAATCAAAACCCAAAAAATCCCTGGACCACAAGTTAACCCCCCCAAAAACCCCATGCCTAATTTCCGAGCCTTAAAAATTTCCAGAAAGAATAACATGTTAGTTGCACTTTATTAGCAGGACTACTCGTCCTTCAGATTGTTTTGAACACCCAAAACAGTACTGCAATCTGTAACAGAAATTGAAACGTTCCGTGTAACACTGGTTGCACAGGTAAAAATTCGTCCCCAGTTCAAAGCGTTTTGTCCGGACCCGTGTTAACGAGGTCGAACCTACATGAGTAGGTTTCTGTTTTAAATGTCAATTACTTTGAATTAAAGGAAGGTTAGAGCGGCGCTTCTCATTCCAGGGGCGGCCAACCACGGTTTCCTCATAAATACATTGAAAACACTTTTTAGGCTATCCAAAGTACTGTTCGGTCATCCTAGGGGAACTTGAGTCTCTTCAAAATTACAAGGGCTTGGGTATCATTTTCCCAAAAATTTTAGATGACATTTGACTTATTACGAAAGTGAGACATTTTTTAATTCCTCTCTCCATCACAATTTTTGAATCCGACAATTTTAGGTTTCCTTTCTTCAACAAAAAATAGCCTAACTTGGGACGTAAAATTGAAAAATTAAACTTCAGAAAATCGCAAGGAATTTATTAGATAAGCTTCGAAAATTGTACATGAATAGAAAGGTCATTCTAGGCAAATATTTGCTTTTCCAAACAGATATTTACAGAAAACAGTCGTTGGGTGCCTCAGTCTGTTCTTCTTCCAGTCTGCAAAGAACTTGTTTTTCTGACGGCACTTATTATACAGTCATTTGGCTCCCGTAAGCGACCACCTCGGATAAAAGTCGTTTTCTGGTTCAGCGAACGAGAATGAACTCCTCCAAGTGACCATGTGGCAAATGAATGCGCTCGCTTAGAACGCTTTTATATTGGCACATTGTTGTTTATGACTAAAATACATGTCTGATGAAATAATAAAACAGCTTTATTTTTATTCGAAGCTTTATTACATTCGAAGTTTTCGAAGATAATACAGTATTAATTAAGCCGTTGGCGTTTCTGTTACGTATAACCCTGAATTTGAGCAAGACGTTAATTGGTTCAGTTCGGGTGTTGTCTGAGTGGTCGAATATGAAACTGAAGAAAGAGAGAAGAAACTGATATCTAGTCGGTGATTAACAAAAGTGGTCAGCGGAGCGGTCGCTTACGAGAGTGGCCTTAAGTAGAAAATTGTCATGTGGGAAGAAACGGAAATTTTTCGTTGAGGAGAGGAAATAAACGGAGACAAGCAAACTGCAATCAAGCCCAGTGCTCGTGAACTTTCTCTAGTAAACAAGAGATCCGAACTCGTTACTCTAAAAAGCAGCTATAAAAACACTGAATTCGCCACGTAACCACTCAAAAGAAGGGGAGCTCTAACCATACTGTACTCGATTAGAAATTTGGTATTTAAAACTTAAAAAATTTACCCACAGCTCTTTAAGAGGCTCCTTGCCGGGTTTGGGGCGTGGTCTTCTGTGCCAGAGGTCCCGAGTTAAATTCCCAGGGCTGAGCTCAATTCTTCGTTTGGACCTCTTTCTCTTTCCGCGTAGCTTTGTGAGAGCTTTGCCACGAAATTTATTACAACTAAAACGGTGGAAACTGCCACCAAATTGAGTTAAAAATCAAAATAACCAATCAAAATATTAAAAAAGATCATAAACATAGTCACTACATTTGAAGAAGATTGAAACGGATGACAACTGCGGTTTTTAAAACTTGTTAGCTGAACAGTTTTTCATGTTATTCAATACATCCAAGTTCACTTTTAGTTGTTTATTATAACGTTTGGTATAGTTTGATTTAATGCTTAAAAGACGTATTTAATTGTTTGACTCGAAGCCCTGATTTTGTCATTCACAAGTAATTTCTTAAGTTCGAATAGCAGACAAAGACGTGTAATTGGCATTATCAGAGAAAATGAACTAGACACAGCCCCTTTAATTACCCGTAAAATGAAGCAATAACGGAGAGAGAAAGGTAAATAAGTGCACCACAGGACTCAGGATTGCAAGCCAGATGATGATTATTTCAAGCTACTAAACCTAAAATAAAGACGAATTTTTCGACCATTTACCTTTAACTTCTTACAGAATACTCTCCTTCTTTACATTTGTATTTAGCTCTACGCGTGATTATGCAAATAATGTATATATTGCACCCGTTTACATAACAAAAAAGGTTTATTTTGTGTTTGTTTACTTTCACCACTATTTAGAGAAAAGAATTTGGTCTTGTACTTCTTGAGGGAGAGGAGTTTTTCACTGGCTATGACAAAGAGGAAAATGCTCAAACATTAACAGCCTTTGCCGTAGCTGCATATCGATTTGGCCACAGTTTGGTTCAAGAGCTTTTCAATCGATTCTCTCAAGATGGCTTTGAACACAAATGCAGCAAATGTAGCAAAGACAAATTACAATTCCAGCCAATCCCAGTACTGGACTTCAATAACCCAGCACCGTTGTACGCTGTATGTAAAGGAGGTGTCGACGCCATTTTGAGGGGCTTACTTAAAGATCCTGCAGCGAAAGCTGACGGGTGAGTGAAGTTATCGCATGCACGTACACACAGTCCTTTTGATTTGCTTAATGTGCTTGTTTAGGAGAAAAGTTCAGTGTTGCTTTTAGGGTATGCATAGTTGTGAGCCTGATAGGTTTAAGACCGATTCGCGCGGATTCAAGAAACTTTGCAAGAGATAATTTAGAGTTAGTTTGAAGGATCCGAGCTCACGCTCGGCGGGCTAGAGGAGGTTTTATTATAGCCAAATTCAAGGAATTATACTGCGTTCTTTCTGTACCTTGAAGACCCTTGAAATGCTTTCGCTTTGGTCATGGTAATCAAGTGGTTACAACATACTCTGCATAGGCGATGAATAGATCCAATCGGCGCCATTATTATACACTCTACTCACTATCTGTCTTCTCTTTGGGTAAGAGCCTATAGTTAGGAAATCACCGAATTCACTGCAACCAACAGATAGGTTACTCCTGTGGACGAGGTTGGCTGATCTTTAGGTTGCCACGCAATGCACTACTTTTATACGCCTTTCTTCTATTTTACTTACTGATCTTTTTTGTTTGTTTGCTTTGTCGTACAGGCGTTTTTCAACTTCAGTCCAAGAAAACCTAAGTCGCGGTGAAGGTGATACGTCTGACTTAATCGCTATTAACATTAGAAGAGGGCATGATCGGGGACTGCCTAGCTACACCAGGTTTCGCCGCTTTTGTGGCCTTCCACTCGTTAGAAATTTCTCTGACTTGGTAACGGTTGCCAATTTTGACAAAAAGGTCGTTGCCGCATTGGAAAAAGTTTACAAGACAGTTGAGGATGTAGACATGTTCACCGGAGGTAAGTCTGGGGTAACGATCACATTCTTCCCATAATCATAACTATAACAAAATTCTCAATTCTGCTTGGCTATTAGCCTGCACCACAGACGAAACTAAACTCTGGTTAAATTTCATTTGCGAAGAAAGCTAATTGGCTAACAACCGTTCTGATTTCAGCACTAATAGGACAGTGTAATTGGACAGTACGCGTAATCGTGGGCGCATTTGAATGTTTTGTTGTTTTTAGACTGCTTGCAGTCCGAATTTCTCTAAAATCCGTCTAGTTCTTATCTCAGCAAGCGCGATTGCAAACCACGATGTTATGTTACAATAAGGGATTGGGACCAGACGACAAAAGATGGACTGCGGACCTCTTTTGTAGTAAACAAACCCTCCGTTAGCCCAGAAACGGAGTAACCGATTTGTCAATTTTACAGCTTTTGGCAGATCATTGACTGGTCTGTGGTGGAGAGCAAGCGATAAAAATAGTCACGCGTCACAACTAACTACTAACAATTACGAAGCTGTCGGTAATCGCTTGTAAACTTAAACGTTTAACGATATCTTACGGAAGGAAACTGCTGTACATTTCCTCAAGGGAAAGGAATTCAAGGTAATCTTACCGGATTTTAAAAACAGTAAAATTTTTCCGTTGTTTATGTTCTTTTTATAAATCGTTTTAAGTCACTCGGGTTTAATTGGTTAATTAAATTACCTTGACATCCTCGTTGTACCCAGACAGAATAAAAGGAGTCAGCAGTCTCTTATTTTTTTCTCCTCGGGCTTACGCCCTGGTTTATCGCGGCTCACGGCTTCGCCGCTCGCGTGCTTGGGTTTCACGTGCAGTAACTTTGCAAAGAAAAATAAGAGACTGTTCGCAGTCTAGTTTTTTTTTCACTGGTAGCAAAAACTCTCACATTTCTTGTATTTTAATTAAAAAAGACTTAAAACATCACAAATTTCTATAGCTATGATTAATTGGTAACAGACCTTCGTGTTGTCCTACTCGGTTTGTAATCATATATACTCGTGATTAAACTAACTCCACTCAGTCCAAAGTATAACAAAAATCTTCGCGAATCTGACTAGCCGTTAGGCATCCACGATTGCAACATTTTTTCCACATTTTGATGGGAAAGTGCATGCATTATGCTTGAGTGTGAACAGGCATGCAGTTTACAGTTGTTGCTGTTTTTGTTTTTGGCTTTTTGGCCTTTTTTTTCTGGTCAGTTTTGGGGCTGGAATGCAGCACAAACAAAGAAAAACTTACAACAATTGAATTGGACTCACCTAATTTGTTATTACCACTTTTGTGGTTGAAAAGTAAACTTCATTTGCTACTTCGATCTCTTCTCAGGAATGCTTGAACCAAGTGATCCTAAAGGAGGAGAACTCAGTGCAACATTTCAGTGCATTTTAGCAAATCAGTTCAAACGCACCAAATTCGGAGATCGCTTTTGGCATGAAAACGCACCTAACGTAACCTTAAACACCGACAAGACAGCATTCAACAGTTGTCAGCTAAAAGAAATCAGGAAAACACGCTTTTCCAGGATAATATGCGATAACAGTGATGACATTACCTCAATTCAAAAAGACGCTTTGATGCAGTCTTCGGTAAGGGTCAGTTGCGACGAATTGCCAAAGATAAACCTTAAGGCATGGATTACAGATTGTCCATCGAGGTAAGTGAGAGGACAGCTGTTCATTTCTCTTAATCAAAATTTTCCTGTTTCTTTCTGGTTGCGTTTGTTACAGAATAAATAGTGATTAGTGGGAAGAAGGTGTTTAAAAATTTGAAAGAAAATTCGTCTTGGGTGTATGATTATATCACTTCGTGGGAATAAAAGTTTCAATTTCTAGTTTCATATTAAACAAATGTATCACGGCAATGTTAAACACACCGCCCCCTATGATTTATTCATTTACTCATTTCGGTTTTCCTAAAGTCGGTAGCCCACTATCTTGACTTCTTATGGTAAACAAAAACTGAGAATAGCAAAAATTGCCCATGGGAATACCGAGATGCGATGTTTTTTGGGGGGGTGGCGGGGCGAGGGGCGAAGGGGGGACAGGGCAGCGGGCTCTCAAAGTAGGCGATCCTTCTTAATCATATTTCACTACTGTACAGGACTCCTACTGACGCCGTCGATAGGCAAAAGCTCGAATTTTTTTTTCAATATCCTTATGTTTAAACAAAATGCAAATTCTCTGGACTGTCTAAATCACTAAAGCATGAATCTGATCACAGCAAAAAAAGTTTGATATCACGTGCCGATCGCCTCCCGTGGTGCTAGCCATTACATCAATCTCGAACAAAACGCCTTTACGTTTAGCGAAGATGGGAAGGAGACGCTTTGAAATTTCACGCGTCTTCGACGCATGCCGCGAGAATGTACGCGCAAAAACAATTCCGCCAGGTAGACAAGCTAAGACAACTAAGTCCACTAAAGAAGTCGTGACCTTCACCACTTCCATATACCGTATTAACTCGATTAAACGCCGCGGTGTTTATTACTTTATAATTTCAAAATCTCAGTTCTTATATCACTGATCGAGCAGTTAAGATGTATCATTCATAAATATTACGTAAAACAGAAAGGTGTTCTAAGTCTCCCTTGCCTTGTTTCATTTTTTTCACGGGTTAAGTTAAACTCAACAAATTGGCCCTCTCCCAATGCATGGGTCTTCATAGCTCAGTTGGTAAAGCACTGCAGAGCTAAGACAGAGGTCATGGGTTCGAATCCCGTTGAAGTTCCGAATTTTTGGGGGGGGGTTAATTTCCAACTGGTTGATTACAATTACCACTGCGACGATCATATCTTTATTAAAATGAGTTTCTCTTCGAATAAACGCCCCATTCTTCTGATTGGGCGCGACATTTAATCGAGTAAATACGGTAATCAATGTTTATTTGCATCTGTTCAAGGATACTCAAGCAACGGACCTCACGCGATCCAACGCTGAAGTAAGGAGAGAGGGAGGTGGGAGGGAGGAGTCATTTTCCTAATATTTAAGTTATAATTTCACAAGAGCAGGAAATGTAAATTTTAAAATAGGATACTCTCTCAAAACCGTTGATGTATCTGTGTTCTTTTTTTTCTTCTGCACAGTGACGCTGTATACAGCGACGAGCCTGAGGACACGCATGATGAGTTTTAAATGAAGAAAGCAGAATCACTCGCTCATCATATGGCTTTCAATTAGACTGCAATTAGGTTAGAAGAAACATATATGTATACCATTATTTTGCACAAAGTCATGACACCCTTCTTGGGCGAATTGTAATTATATTTTCGAGTTTTTCTTTTCTTTCGATCGGTGAGATGTGACGTTTGATTTTTACAGTGAAAGGGGCTGTGACGTCACGGTTGTCTGGTTCATATTGTTTCGCTATAGAACTTGGAAATTTTACTTGTAAATTACACAAACACCGAAAGCTTCGTCTCAAACGAATGTGTCTCCTAAGCCGAAACGTAACAAACAAACAAAATGAACTTTGAAAAACTATTGGGAAACAAGTTTTCAAAACCTATAATTGCAATCCTCCCTCAAATTTGAACATCCGTGGTCCCATTTGTGATTGCTTTGTTATTTGTACCTTCTTTAACGTTTTGGGTGGTAATTTGAAGGTTTCTCCCGTAGAGTACTAAAGTGTGACGTCATAAAAATGAAATTTCTGAAATTATGGGATTTGCCAGGATATTCTGAAAGAACAATGTCCAAGAGGCCTACTTACCAAAAATGAGCATTTTGAGGCAAATAGTCTCTGAGATGTTAACCGGTTATACTAAAAAAAAAAAAAAAAAAGTGGAGTTTTCTAAGTATAACTGGGCTACGATCTCAGGGACAATTTGACCCGAAATGCTCATCTTTGGCAAGTAGGCCTCTTGGACATTGTTTTTTCAGAATATCCTGACAAATCCCATAATTTCGGAAATTTCATTTTTATGACGTCACACTTTAGTACTCTATTGTTTTGTTTTGAATAAATTTCGTGACACAGCCAGTCCGATTGTGTAATAGTTTCAGTAGAAGATCTGTAATAATAAAGGATGCCTTCTTCATAACAAAGTAGGTTTTGGTCAAACAGCGTATTGTATCCACTTCGCGGAGGCTCACTCCATTTGCCACAAGTTAACGATGCACCCATATTCTTCTCAAAATGTATAAATAAAAAATGGTGCTGAAATGATAAATTATCACTGTTGCTTTATGGTTGTTATGGGCTGTCCCGAAAGCTACTGATCGGTACAGGATTCCTCCTAAATTTGTCTTAAATCTGTTTCTTTTTGTTGTTGTTGTTCAGGGCTACGGTAGCCTGTGCCAGGATCTCAGATAATATAGTGGGGACGTATTAAAACGAGCAGAGCGAAAATAAGACGCGCGCGACTTGGGAAATGGGGCGGTGGCGGCGGAAAACTGGGAGAGAGGTTAGGGTTAGGGTTAGGGTTAGCCCCCGCGCGTTTTTGGCATTTCGTTTTACACCGTCCTTTTTATTGAACGACTCTTCACCACTATCTTGGAGCCTGTAACAGGCTAGGGCTACTTCTGATGAAGAGTTCACCGATACCTCGGTGAAAAAACACCAACACCACCACAACACCGCCGACTCTTGTCTGTGAACAGTGTCCTGGGAGCTGGGGAGTGAGAAAAGGGTTGGGGGTAGGGTGCGACTCCCCTCCTGTTCCTTTTTCTTCCCATTTCTTCTCCGTCTGTATTCCCTTATCTTTGTGCTTTCTTGCGTTTTCGTCATATCTCTCACTAGTAAGAGACCCTGTTTATGCTTGCCTTAATACGATTGCAATCTTTTAATGAAAGGAACAGTGGCTGTAGCGTCCTAATCAGTGTTAGATAAACGGCAGAATTAAAGGCACAAGGAACATTTCGCATAATTTTGCACGTTTTGGAACGTTTCACAGGTGTCGAAATTAGTGCTAATGAGCTAGGAAAACCCATTTATATTTGTTCTCCCTCTCTTTCAGTCAGGGGCACCCAACGACGGTTTCCTCCTAATCCATTAAAAACACTTTTTAGGCTTTCCAGAGTACTTTTAGATCTTTAGAAATGCATTCTAAGCGGCGCTATAAAATTTGGATCGGTTCGGTCATCCAAGGGGAACTTGAGTCTTTCGAAATTACACTTCACGAAAGTAAGAATTTTACTGATTCCTCTCTCCATCCCATTCTTGAATCCAAAAATTCAATAGGTGTCCTTCTTTTTACGAAAAATAGTCTAACCTGGGGAGTGAAATGTGAAAAATTAAACTTATAAAATCGTCGGGAATTTATTAGATAAGCTCCCAAAATTAATTGTACAGGAATGGAACTGTCATTTAAAAATCTTAAGCCGTCCTAAAGCAGAAAATTTTAGGCATCATCTGCTTCTCCGAACAGATATTTTACAGAAAACAGTCATTGGGTGGCCCTGACCAGTGAAGTGCGATGTTTGAAACAGGCCTTTTTTGATATTTCCTCCTTGATACGTGATAAAAGCCAGCGCTTTCATCACCCAGTTGACGTTGATTAATTCCCAAGCTACAAACGTATTGATTAATATACCCTTTGGCAAAATTTGAACGAAAGCGGAAAAACAAGAAACAAAATAAGCCGCATGGTGTTTTCATTCTGAAAGGAACTTGAATTTTAGTACAAAACATCTGAGCTCAAAACAGTGGTATGTCTCAGACTTTTCACTTTATTAATGTTTTTTTTTTCGGCTTCAACGAGAGGGTTAGTATTTCAAAACTCCTGTGGACCGTTCCAATCCTGAAAGAACCGTGCAAAGAGGCCTAAAGAATCATAATTACATCCAGTTCTCGAATTCCGCTGTATTTCAGGTAACATTTGCATAATTCCAGACTCTTCCACCAAACAATTTCAGAACAGTCTCTAAACAAAGAAATATTGCTCATTCCATTTTAACTGACAAATAATGTAGTTTTTTGCTGTATTGTTCACCGCTACAATTGTGAGTTTACTTACTAGGTTATGTTCGAATGGGGAATTAAGGACGAAATAAACTAACAACTTGAAGGAACACAAACTGTGCAAAAGAATAGAACTGCTGTAGATTGCTAAAACAGCTGAGTAAAAAGACAAACTGAAATCAATGTCCGGCGCCGCCATATGTATGGTCTCCTGCAGTTGTATTCTTGTCCCTTTTTATTTTGCACAAAGGCCGCGCACTCGTTTAAAAATTGACTCGCGCCTACAGTGACTATAATCGCTCCGTTCTCGCGACGTAATGTCACCCTAAAATCGACCAATGAGCAAGTCTATCTGCTCAACATATTCCATTCTCTGAATTATTAGTAATCTTTAAATCTTTTCGACATTTTTTAACAGAAAGGTCCGCTTGAAGAATATCATTTCTTTGCATGCACGCCGACTAAAATATTCAAAAAGTGCAGATCAAAACAGGAAAAAAGAGAAGCACCAGCGGCGATGTTTTGGTACAACGTAGCCACATTTCTGAGAGATAAAACTATAAGTAGTTTTTTTTTTTCTTTGATGGGTTTGAAAAGAACTTTTCCCTTTTCCCAGCTATGTTGGCATGTAATACTGTTCATGAAGACTTTGCCAAATTTTCTTTGCACGGATCACCGATGTTTCACCAAGAGAGGGGAAGGATGGCAAAAACTTAAGACCAGGGGGAGGACTACTCAACAACGTTTTTAACACGAGGAGTCTCCGCACCGATATCCAATCCCTTTTATATTCCACGGTACCCCTTTCAAATACCTACTAAAGAAAACTGCTTCCCTTTGGAAGGAAATTGATAGCACCAAAAAAAATTTAAAAAACAGCTCAAAAAAGGCGGTCTGATTGAAATATATTAAATTTAAGGGCCCCTTCATATACCTAATTGACTCCTGAAGCCAGTGAAAAAGGTACTCCTCTCGGGCGGGACAGTCAGCCTCCCTGTAGAGGAACGTATTCTCGGGAGTAAACCATCGCCAACCCCCCACCACCATCCCTTCCCCCCGACCTGATTAGACGGACATTTCAATAGATAAGCCAAACATAAAAGAGCCAAGGAAATTCTCTCAGAGGTATTTATTGTACCTGCATGTTCACGTGTACAAAAGGTGGTATTACAGCTGTTTCGGATAACGCGACCTACTATGTCAAAAACGTCTTAGGATTTTGGGTCTTGCTGCGACGTCGCTCAAACTCTGAAGGCTGGGCGCTTTCTAGCGGACCTCTCAGGGAACAGAAGTTTACTTCAACGGGTTCAAAATGTCATGGTTTGTGATTTGTGATTGATGGATTTCGATCCGTTTTATGTGCGATACGATTGCATTCTCGGGTTTTGATGTTTAACTTAAGTTTACAAAGTTACTACGAGTATAGAGTAAGATTAGAAAGAGGTTGTAATTCTCAACTGTATACTATCTATTTTTCACCCAAGTACCACTTTTTAGCGACACTACTTAAACTAACTTATGCTTTGTCGCATTCTAGGTACAAGGCTGGTTAAACAGCTAATGTAACCTTAAACCGCTAAGAGTAAATCATTTCCCAATCTACCTTTTTCAAGTTTACAGTCTTGTGCCGGAAAACAATTTTACTAAAACCCTGAGAATCAAAGAATCAAAATAGTCTTACAATCCCATTAAAGACACAAGCCAGCCCTAGGCGACAATAATTGCTCCACTCTCATCCCGGAAAAACTATCCAACTATAACAGCTTTATTTAAACCACAAAAATTAATAAGGAAAATAAGCAACCTCAAAAGATTCCGAACAAAAAACAAGAGTCACAATGGTTTCAATAGAATGACACTCTCCTTCCAAGAGGACATTTGAAAAGGAAAGAAACATCAAGGAAATCAGTATTATGTTCGAATATTTGAACTACTTTTCCCGGTTAAGGAAACATGCTCAGCACAAAATGTTTAACGCTTTGTAATATTCTAGCAATTTCTGACAATGAGCCACGAGCCGACCTTGTCAGACCTTGTACGACAACACAGCACACGCATCAAGGAAAAACTGCCCGACTGGAACAGCCTTATTTAAAAACAACAAAATCATAACAACCTCTTAGTCTTCCAAGCCAATAGCTATAATAAATATTTCCAGTAGAATATAATCCTTCCAATTGCAAGGAGACAGTGGTTAAATCGAAAATAAACTAGTGGAAATGTAATTGTTGAGATCGGTTATTTGAGCCACTTTTCTCATTCAAAAGGGACAAAAGACATTGAGCTGCCTGTTGTATAAATAGATAGACGACCGCATTCTTTTAACAGTTGCTCTTTGTTTTTCCCACACTTTATTGTCTCATTTAGTTTCGTTTTATTATAAAAGAACAAAAGCCTAACGGCAAAATACAATGTGACGATAATAGATCATACAAATTTTCCGGGTTGCGGGTATAAATTTGTTAACTTTAGTCTTACTAGTTGGGCTCAGTAAATTCATCTACGCCAAATCCACGGAGACGAGTGAACGATTGTACCGTAGTCTTTTCAGAGGGAGTTTACCGGTAAGACTTAATCAGGTGAGTAATATTTTTTTCTTTTATCTTCCAAAACTGGAACCATAAAAATTTGCAAAGTTTGATATGCGTTCCTTTTAAAGGGGCAACTGTTCATCCGCTACATGCACAAATAGTCAGTGGAAAGAATTCAGAATCTGAGAATGTCTTATTTGCCGTACTTTATCCA